TATATATATATATTCTATGATATTTTATTTGGATATGCTTAGTTGCGTTCGGTTCTTTTCTACCCCATGGATTGTAGCCTGCCAGGCTCTTCCATCCATGGGATTCTCTAAGCAAGGATGTTGGAGTGGGTTGCCATGCCCTCCTCCAGGGTATCTTCCCAACCCAGGGATCAAATCTGCATCTCTTGCATTGGCAGGTGAATTCTTTACCCCCCTGAGCCACCAGGGAAATCCTTTATTTTGATGAGAATTTCTAAAACCTTGGTTTACAAATGTCAGTTGAGATGTAAGATATTTCCAAAGACACTTAGGAGTCATTTAATACCATTTGAGAAATAATATCTGAATTTTAAAGATTTTAGGAAAAATAATTTTTTCTTTTCTTGATTAATTTGTATTTTTATTTCAATGGTAACTTTAATCAGTCATGGGTATTTTCATGGTGATTAATACTGTGATATTCTGCTTAGATATCTGTAATACTTATAGTAAGATTCCTACAACAGGATTTTCTTCAGAAAGATGAGTCACTGAAAGTAGCTTGTAAATTGCCATGGTATTTTTGCATTTCATATCCTTGTAAGATGAGGAAACCATATAAGACTGTCAAAAATAGCAAAATGAAACTTATAAATAATAGTTTCAACTTTAGTAGGTCATAGGGTGGATGAAAGTGCTTGTTTGAAGTAAAAGAGTTTTATCTCCATTCTGCTTCACACACGATCATCCATCACTTGTGCTAATTATTTTCCAGTGGCTTCAGCTTTTCCATCTCATTGTTTTTCTATTAAACCTGCCTGGCAAAACCCCAACCTTGGACGTATTCAGTGGAATCCACTGCTTTATATCAAGGCTGATGAGCACTTCTGGGGGAAAAAATGGAAACTGCAGATGAGTGTTGTGTTAGTGCTCACAGTGAATGTTGTCTGCTCTCGTCGGAGCCCTCAGTGCCGCTCTTCACAGCCCTCAGTGCCGCTCGTCACACTTCCCCAGCCGCTCAGACCTCTCACCCTCACATATTTACCGAGCAGTCCGTTTCACTTCACGGCAATTAACAGACTCTTTCAACTTCCTACCCCCAAATCTGCCAACTAGCCTGTATCCAATTTTGTCCTTTCTTTCTTTCATTTCAGTGAAAGAGGTGTTCTTTTGCCTATCTAATGCTAATCATGTTTCTTAAACCCTAGATAGCAGTCGTTCCCAGTTTTTCAGAGACCACACACAGTTTGCATCTTTGTCTCCTCTGAGTGCTATCCTGGCAAATTTTAAATGTACTCAAGATACCTCTCTCTTTCCCCCGGTTATATATATATCAGTTTTATTAGTATTTTTTTTAATTTTATTTTTAATTGCAAGGATAATTACAATATTGGGTTGGTTTCTGCCATACATCAGTATGAATCAGCCATTGGTATACATATGTCTCCTCCCACCCCTCTAGGTTGTCACAGAGCGTCATCTTTGGGTTCCCTGCGTCATACAGAACGCATTTGAGTCAGTTCTACTGAGGTGGACAAACCTAGAGTCTATTATACAGAGTGAAGTAAGACAGAAAGAGAAAGACATATCTTAATGAGAATATATGGAATCTAGAAAGATAATACTGATGATCCTATTTGCAGGGCCCCAAAGGAAACAGACTTTTGGATACAGTGGGGGAAGGGAGAGGGTTGGATGATTTGAGAGAGTAGCATTGAAACATGTACATTACCATACCTCCATTTTAAGGAATCTTTCTACTTGACCTTCTCTGCCTGCTTTCCTTCACAGAATGGTGTTTTGAAAAAAATCACCTAATGACTTTCTTTAATTTTTTCTCTTCCCCATCAATAAATGCATTTCAGTTATGGAATTGATTTTTACCAAGGTTGTCAGTAACCGTCTTGTTGCTAAATCCAGATGGACACTTCTCACTAGTTTGTTTATATGATAAAGTAATACTTGGCATTCTTATCATACCCTCCTTCTTTACACACTTCTCCCCCTTGTTGGCACATTCTTCTGGTTTTGGTTTCCCTCTTGTCTTTCCGTACCTTCTAAGTGTTCTTTTCCTTTTTTAAATATCTGTGTCCTTCAAGGTTTAGTCTTCTCTTACTCTTTATCTTCTCCATGAGCCTTCTGTTCCACTTTACATTCTTTTATGAATTGATGATTTGCACATCTCTGTAGCCTAGATTTTACTTCTGAGAGATGGCTGTTTGCCCACTGGACAAATTTAATTGGGTATGCAATAGATATCTCCAGTGTCTCTAAAACTGAGCTCATCTTTTTCTCTCATTAACGGAAATGTGTTTCTTTTCAAATTACTTTGAATGTATCATCATATACCCTGTTTTCAAGCTAGAAACCCAGGGGTCATCCTTTAACTCCTTTCTCCCTGCATCATCTCCCACTTCATTATAGTTGCTAAGCCATATTGATTCCGCCATAAAAATCTTCCTTGCATTGGTCCTCTTCTCTTACACACCTAGTGTTTTGATTATTAAAAGTCTTTCTATACAAATAATAGTTTATAATAATAATCATGACATAATCAAAAACTATATATATTAATGTGTTTACAGAATAAAATTTAGAGGGTAGATACCAGTAGTTCTCAAGGTGACTTTGAAGAGGTTAAAGAGGTTAGCATAAGAAAGAAATGACTTGCCTTTGTTTTCTACCTGTTACAGGGTGAGATAGCTGCTCCCATAGAGAAGTCAGCTGAATACACTGAGAATGGATCCACAGGCAATAACTTCATTAGCTTCATGCTGATAATTTTACTTCTGTAGGAGTATGCCTTCTCAACCATTTGGTATCATTATTACTGAGTTATAAATACTCAATATCATCTTACGTCAATCACAAATAGACAAAGTTGTGTATAAACTTTGTAGACTTTATTTAGTAAATGGTCTTTAAAAATGATTTTTAAGAAATTGTTGATATATTTTCCCCAGACTAATTTTAATGTATGTTTCAAATTGTTTTAGAAACTTGTGTTCAAAGTCATTAGCTTATCACTAGATCCTTAGGAAAAGCTCGTTTTAGGAGGAATTCATCATAATAAAAAAATGAGTACAAAACATCTCTTTGAATATATTTTTAATTTATCTTAAAGTAGACTTACTTTATTATTACTCTACTGATAGAAAATGCAACATACTGTATTTTACCAAAAAATTGGTAAGAGTTTTTACTTAAATATTTTAGTAATGTCTAATCGCCACTTTAAGATAAATTACTTTTTGTAATGTTAGGTATTGTTTTCATCTATTGCTTATGTATTTTTTTGAGTTCCTGTTCTTTAATATTACAGATTATATCAGTGCATCTTAGAAAAAGGTAGTTGTAAAATGTTTCATTTAAATGAGTCAGTTCACTGGACATACCTCTTTATGAGTATCAGTTTGCAAAGTTCTTAAATAGATTTCTAGTGTAAAAAATGTTGTAAAATATTGCTGAAAATATATAAGGTAAAGAGCAAAAATCACATTCCTACCCTGTAACCAACAGCTGCTTTCATGTAAGCATTTTTTAATATAGTAAAGATATTAATTATATACTTCATATTTCTTTCAGATTTTTTTCCCAGCTTGTCATTTACTATTTATTCTCAGTATACATAGGATTCACTTGTGCGTGAGTAAAATTGGTTGAACATATTCCTTTTTGTTTCCACATTCCAAATTAGTAAAATCTCTATTTTTAAAGCTCATTCTTTTTTCTTGTCTTTTGACTCTTTAATCTTATTCATCTACTTTTAATCTACTGGATAGTATATTGGTTTATGGTGTAAGGCAGTCTTTTTCATCTGAGGGGGAATTAAGCTCTAATGCTCTAAGGCATCTGTTGTTTACTATGAATTAATTCTTCTGTGTGTCTGGAATGGTACTGGGTATGTACCATCCTTCGGAGAATTAAGAAAATAGTCACTGAAATCATTTTTCTGTGTTTTGTGTTTAAGATGATGAATCCTAGTTTAGGAAGTCTGTTAAAGCTTTAAATAAACTTTTTTCAACATTGTTAACAGTGTCCCATCAATTGAATAATTTTTCACCACTCAGTTATTGCAAAGGTTAAATGATAAACACATAAAATGTTTAGCATTAGCACTTGGCATATAGTGAACAAAATTGATGTTAGCTATAGTTAATTTTTGTCACTAAATTTTTTGAATTGGGTGTATTTGAGGATTTTCTTTTTGAGTAGTGCTGATTGAACCAGATAGATACTTAATGTGGTTGAATATCTTGGGTTTAGTTTTCTCCTCTCTTGACCACTATAGCAACTTTTGCTTTTATTTTTCAGGTAAATTTTTTCTAACTTGTTTGTTCTTCCAGATGGTTTTTAGAATTGTTCTGTCAAATTCCAAGAATCCCAGTGGGTATTTAATTAAGTCTAAAATTCAGAAAAAATGTTTAGTCTTCTCATCAAGGGAGATAGTATGTTTTTCCACTTATTCACATTTTCTCTCGCATTTTTTTGTAGAGTTTAATAGTGCTTCTTGTATGTGTTTAATTGAATCACTTTGCTGTATAGCAGAAATAAGCACAACATTGTAAATCAACTGTACTTCAATTTAAAAATAATGTGTCTTTACATAGGGCAAAATTATATTTTTCCTAGATAATTTTACTTTTTATCGCTATTATAAGTGATGTCATTTCCATCCATAACTTTTTCCTACCTCTTTACCTTTTTGGATTGTGTCAAATAAATTAAATTAAGTAACCTTAAAGGATCCAAGCCTGCAGAAAGAGTGGATATTCCAAGGTTTTTTCCTTCCTCTCCCTATCACTTCAGCTACTTAATGCATGCTGAACAAACTATGCCTGTGGCAGCTAAATCATTTTGTGTGTGGTTGATGGTGCCTCTTTCATTTCATAAAATCAGCTTTTCTGATACTTGTTTCTATTGCTAAGCTTCATGGAATGATTTCAATATTACAGTTTGTTTTTATGTGTTAAAAAGTTAGTCTTGACTTGTTTTGCAGAAGATTAATTGTAAAAGCCAGTATGGCCACAGGAGGGGGTCCTTTTGAAGAAGGTGTGAATGATCAGGATTTACCAAACTGGAGCAATGAGAGTGTTGATGACCGACTCAACAATATGGTAAGTTATCTTATTATTGATGGTGTGTTGTTGGCTACTGATGTTAAAATGCAACTTTCCTCTGACTTAGCCAAGTCATCCTCATTGAAACTATGTAGACACAGTTTTTCTTGCTGGCCAATATATTAAATGACCCTGGGCTATTTGGTGTATTAGTTGAAGACATTTTTGTTTGCACGTAACATACCAACTTGAGTCAGCTTAAACTGAAAAGGAGATTTGTTATAAGAATATAAAGATGTTTTATGGAAAATAAGTTAAAGGAATATAGCTGGGTTTTAGGAAGGGACTAGAAAAAGCAATCAGAAAGTTGTCAAGAATTATTTTTTCACTTTGCTAACTCTTTGCTTCTGAGTGTCTCTACTTAACCCAACTTTATTTTCACAGACCAGTTTTCTCTCTCGTCTGGTCCACGTGATATACTGTGGCTGCCCCTTCCTTCTGAAGTTTTCAGTTACGCTGCTGTTGTAGACTGACTAGTTATCTGTTAGTTACAATTTGAAATTTTAAAGTATGATTATCCTAACTCGTATTAGGTATGCATCTCTTTTCCAGTCACCTGTGGCCAAGATTGGGTGGGGTAAGTAGGACAGGATTGGAGAAGGATATGGCAACCCACTGCAGTGCTCTTGCCTGGAGAATCCCATGGAGAGAGGAGCCCGGTGGGCTGCCGTCTGTGGGGCTGCACAGAGTCGGGCACGCCTGAAGCGACTCGGCAGCAGCAGAGCAGGAGCTTGGCAGGAACGCCCACGTGTGGATTGGGCTGGAGGGACGGCGTGTAGAGAAGGGAGTTGTGTTACAAAAGAGAAAAATACCCCAAAAGGTGTTAGTAAAGTAAAACTAAAACATTCTTCCAGTATGGATAAGGTGGGAATTTACAGAACTTTTGAATGTGTTATGTGAATATAGCTAAGTAAATAAACATATTTTCTGGTAAAATGTTCAGTTTAGTCACTTAGTTGTGTCAGACTTTTTGCGACCCGATGGACTGCAGCACGCCAGGCCTCCCTGTCCATCACCAACTCCCGGAGTTTACTCAAACTCATGTCCATTGAGTCGGTGATGCCATCCAACCATCTCATCCTCTGTCGTCCCCTTCTCCTCCTGCCTTCAGTCTTTCCCAGCATCAGGGTCTTTTCAAATGAGTCAGCTCTTCCCATCAGGTGCCAAAGTATTGGAGCTTCAGCTTTAGCACCAGTCCTTCCAATGAATATTCAGGACTGATTTCCTTTAGGATGGACTGGTTGGATCTCCTTGCAGTCCAAGGGGCTCTCAAGAGTCTTCTCCAACACCACTATTCAAAAGCATCAATTCTTTGGTGCTCGGCTTTCTTTATAGTCCAACTCACATCCATACATGACTACTGGATAATCATAGCCTTGACTAGACGGACGTTTGTTGGCAAAGTAATGTCTCTGCTTTTTAATATGCTGTCTAGGTTGGTCATAACTTTTTCTTCCAAGGAGTAGGCATCTTTTAATTTCATGGTTGGCAGTCACCATCTACAGTGATTTTGGAGCCCAAAAAAATAAAGTTTGTTACTGTTTGCACTGTTTCCCCAGTCTTCTCCACTGTTTGCACTATTTGCCATGAAGTGATGGGACCAGATGCCATGATCTTAGTTTTCTGAATGTTGAATTTTAACCCAACTTTTTCACTCTCGTCTTTCACTTTAATTAAGAGGCTCTTTAGTTCTTCTTTGCTTTCTGCCATATTTTTTATCATTTCATATCAGACCTTATCATATAGTACATTATTATTCCCTATAGAAAATAATAATAGTTAACATCTATTGCTTACTACATGCTAGGCACTGTGCTGGATGTTTTATATATGTTATTTTAAATTGTGTTTTAAAGGTGACACTATTTCAGAGATTAGGAAACAGATTTATGAAAGTTAAATAAATTGCCTAGGATCACACAGTGGAGCATTTCTTCAGGTAACAGTAATTGCTTTAGAACACAGGTTGATTCCTGATCTGTCTACCTATACATGTTGATTTTAAAGGAGACCAGTGAAGGTATCTATAATTTTATTTCACTAATCAATTTATAAATAGTAAGGAACCATTTTTTAAAAATGCTTCTGAAAATATTTAGACTGATGCTAGGGTCAGAGGTTGGGTATTTAGACTACATGTAGTAGAGGGAAAATGGGCTAATGCAGGTAAGTAATTGTCTCTAAGACGATGTATTTATGTGAAAAATGTTTTGTCATTTCTAACTTTTAAGACCAAAAATTTTAATGCGTACCAAAATATTTTCCTTATTTGATAGAGGCCAGATTAACATTTGCCTTTACTTTTTTAAAGGATTGGGGCGGCCAGCAGAAGAAGGCAAATAGGTCATCAGAAAAGAATAAGAGAAAATTTGGTGTAGAAAGTGATAAAAGGGTAACTAATGATATTTCTCCGGAGTCATCGCCAGGCGTTGGAAGACGAAGAACAAAGACTTCACTGACGTTTCCACATAGTAGATACGTGACTCAGATGTCTGTTCCCGAGCAGGCAGAACTAGAAAAACTCAAACAGCGGATAAACTTCAGTGATTTAGATCAGGTTTGTAAATTATTTTACAAATCAAGTTATGACTATGGAAAGTACTTGCCATAGATAAATCATTTGTCTTGATGAAATCGAACTGTTTATTCCTTTTTCTTAATTTCTGTGCATATGGAAAGAATGTTAATCAGTGGTGATGGTACTGTGTTCTTTGGAAGGCAACAAAGTCCTTATTTCTAAACTTGCTGAGGACAGGTTTTTCAGAACTTTATTATTATAGTGTTTGGCTGGCTTAAATGATTTCATTTTGAAACTAAAATTTGCATGCTACTAACTGGTTAAGATAGCTGTTAAGCAAAAGAGAAGATCCAGTTTAGAATATTTTATCATTGGCTAAGTGTAGAATGTGCTGTTATCTCAAGTTTAGAATAAAACCGTTATTTGTATTTATAATCACCGAAGTCAAGTTTAGAACTAAAAGCAAGTAGAAGTGAAAATGAACTCTTCACATTTTATTGTCTGATCTGTACTTGATAAAGTTTCTCTAAATATGCATAAAGATAGATTCCGGTCTGGTATGATGACGGTGATGATCATATATCATTTAGTCACCTTTGTATCAATTATTGAACAGTTACTGTATGCCAGGGACTAAGTTGAATGATTTATCAGACAGTGCTTCACGTTGACACATCTTTATGTTGATGTTTGTATTAATCAACATTGATTGATTAGGTCCAAAGCCTATGTTTTATTCTGTGATCAACTATGATTAGCAATCTGAGTTATAAATATGGTTCATAATCCTACTACTTTATTTAGAATAGTCTTGCTCATAGCCATCATTTCAGTTGTCTCTGACAGAGAGAGGAATAGGACGTGATAATTGAATTTGGTGTTTTCTAAAAGAATTTTGTAGGTCTGAAGCTGCTCTGAGTCTTACGACAGATCTTTTATATATACCTCCTGAATCATTATCTGATAGTGAAGCTGACTAAGAACTTTGGATTTTTTTTTTTTAATTTTGAAAGATTAATGTTTGTGGGATTTGGTTTTTCTTTCATGTATAGAGAAGCATTGGAAGTGATTCTCAAGGTAGAGCAACAGCTGCTAACAACAAACGTCAGCTTAGTGAGAACCGAAAGCCCTTCAACTTTTTGCCTATGCAGATTAATACTAACAAGAGCAAAGATGCCACTGTAAGTCCTCAAAAGAGAGAAATGATTGGATCAGCACAGTGTAAAGAGTTGTTTGCTTCTGCTTTAAGTAATGACTTTTTGCAAAACTGTCAAGTCTCTGAAGAAGATGGAAGAGGAGAGCCTGCAATGGAGAGCAGCCAGGTGATAATATTTCTTTTACTCTTTGCTTTCATAAACCTCAGAGTAGAAGCATGAAGATTTTAAAAAATACTTACACACTTAGGAATTTCAGTTAGGTGGAATTAAGGTACTTCCCAGGTTTCCCTTGTGGCACTAGTGGTGGCGAATCCACTTGCCAGTGCAGGAGTCATGCAAGACAAGGGTTTGCTGTTGGGTCGGAAAGGTCGCCTGGAAGAGGGCATGGCAACCCATCCAGTGTTCTTGCCTGTAGAATGCCTTAGACAAGAGGAGCCTGGCGGGCTGCAGGCCATAGGGTTGCAAAGAGTTGGACAACTGAAGCGACTTACCTTGCACGCAAAGTACTTCCTTAACTTTTGCTCATTAATCCTGTCAGGTTTATTCAAAACTGTAAATTTCTTTTTACAAAAATGATTGTAGAAGTGGCATAGTCAGGTGAATTAAGACTTTCTGTTCACCTGTGAAATGCTGTATTGTTAATTTTTAGTAAAGAGAAGTTGGAGTAATGTGATCAATAGATTGTTGTAGAAATTTCTTTAAATGGTTATATAATTCATTTGAAAACATAATTCTGTTTTAAAAGTATTTTAATTTTTTAAATTTATAAAGAAACACTAGAAGAATTTATATAAATAATAGTTTAATATGCAGTTTTATAAAGAGAAGTTTTCAAGTAATGTAAATTAAAACTAATTTTGAAATTAATAGAAATAGGAGTTGTTAGTATTGCCTATTAAGTTTTGATTAAATTGTAAATTTGGTTCAGATCTTTTGCATGTATGAATTCATACAATAAACCTAGAAGTATCTTTGGTTATTTGAAATTAAAATCTAGAAAGTTGTTGCTGTTCAATAAATTATGCTCATTTTAACATTCTGTTTATTTTCATGTCCCCCACCCCCACCCCCCACCCCGAATATCTCCCGTGCAGATTGTAAGCAGGCTTGTTCAGATTCGTGATTATATTACTAAAGCTAGTTCCATGAGGGAAGACCTTGTAGAGAAAAATGAAAGATCTGCTAATGTTGAGCGCCTCACTCATCTAATAGATCACCTTAAAGAACAAGAAAAGTCATATATGAAATTTCTCCAGAAAATTCTTGTAAGTTTTGAACCTTTTACATAATGTACTGAGTGATTTTTGTAGTACATCAGTGTGTACCTATGGTAATGACATTGTGATTGCCACCCCAGAGGAGTTAATATATTTTTAAAAAATCGTGCCATCCCTTGTAACATTTTATTGCCCTTTTTAATAGTTGTATGATTTATACCACTAAAATATTTCAGGCTAGAGAAAATGAGGAGGAGGATGTTCGGACTATAGATTCAGCTGTGGGATCTGGTTCTGTAGCTGAGAGCACATCGCTAAACATAGATGTGCGGTCTGAGGCTTCAGATGCCACGGTAAGCAGCTTTTTAGTAATTAAAGTGCTGGAAATGAAGATACAAACTTTCCCCTTATTCTTCACAATAATACTTTTGTAGGCATTCCTTAATGAAAAATTTGTCTCGGGGAAGAAACCCTCAGATTGTTAATGCTGTATATATTCTTTTTGAACGTGGAAATTTAAAAGTTTTCTTTATTAACATAAAAGTAGTTTTGATGATTGATTAATAGTTTCTGGTCTTCAGCTTGCAAAAACCTGGGTTTCCTCATTTGTATCGTTAAGCACAGCTTTGCTCATTTTAAGAGGCATTGGAGAGTTAAAATTCATTGTAGATGTACTAGTCATGAGGACAGTGTCATTGCTTGGCATGTCTTTTGGCAAAGCCTCCCAAGTTTCTCTGACACTGAGGACCCGTTTGAAGGCTGTTAGGATTTACATTTGTCAGGCTAGTGTAGCACTGAAGCCAAACCAGGCGGCTGATAAACTGAGCTGAAAATGGGACAGGTTAGCATTTACTTTGGGATTTATTTAGTGAGGAAAGTATATAAATTTTAACTTTGCAAAATGAGATGTATCAAAATACTGTCTTTTGGGAAAATAATCAGAAATTTTCAGAACTTTGAGGCAAGATTTGTAAAATGCACTTCATGAAAGGTAGTATGAAACTAGTATACTTGTAAACATTTTAATTTTAGCAACTGCACCTATAACAATGCATTAGTAAACTTGAAACCATGTAGTCAGTAATGCCTTTCTTGTGAAAGGATAGACCATGTGTATCGTTTGTTTCTGAGGTATGTTCCCAATTTCTAGCCAGCATTAGGAATTTGAGGGTTTGTTTCCTTTCAGCATTGCCCTGCATAGTTTCTTATCTACCTCCTTTCTCATCCTTGGCCTTCCTGATTCGAAGAGGAAACTTGAATTTTTTTTTCTCTCCATTATTTTCACCAGGAGGTGCTCAGAGGGCTTGATCCAAACGGTTGTTGAAGAATGCAGTCTACTGTGGGAAAATTGTTTTTCTGTTTACAGTGGTGTGGGGAATAATTTCTTTCTCACATTTCATTCTAGCAGAAATGGAAGGGTCGGGGCATGTGCATAAAGGAATTGTGTTTGAGAAGAGTGGGAAGTGATATAATTGATTATAATAGTTTATCTGTATATGCTAGTGTATATAGTGTTCACCAAGATGAGACTTTCTTTCATAGCATAAAATCAGGACATTTTGGAAATCAGTAACATACAGTAAATGTTAAAATATACTTCAGTGATTGTTGTATAGCTTGGAAATTGCCTAAGAAATGATGTTTACTTAGAATAAGCCAATAGTCTAGTCTATGGGAATTTAAAAGTGTAAAGTTTTATTGCCTCTTGGGGAGAGGGTGGATTAATTTTCTAAATCATGGGCTGGTAAATTTTTATATTTATTTACAAGGCTGGCTTGTATGTTAAAACAGGAGTTTGTATTAAGAAATTAATATGCTACACTATTTAATAAAGGAGGCATCTTTTAGTCTGAGAATTCGGCCGTGCATTGAGGACAAACTAGGGAATTCAGCTACACAAGAACAGGTTTCAGACATTGACGTTACTACAAGTCCAAAAGGGGAAGGTGACAGACCTCCTCAGAATGACAGGGAGCTGAGGCCTAATAGGAAATGTAGCCGAAAACGTGGATTTCCCTCAAAGGTATACTTTACAATATTTAGTTGGGAACCCTCTAAATGAGCACCTCTTTTGTTGATATTTCCTCTTTCCTTATTTGCTTTTCTGTTGTTGCCGTAACTTTTAAATTTGTGTTATTAATATGGTTAGTTGTATAGTAATTTGCATTAGTAAAATGCATTGGTAAAAATCCCTTACTGTTTTTCTTCTTTTCTGCTTTCTTAGTCTCCTCTCCGTGAACTATGTGTGGTAGCTGTTTTTAATTTGCATTAACAAAGGACTTGAAACTTAATCCATTTTCCTTTAATATAACACATTCTTAAACGCTGATCATTAGTTGCCTTTTGTTTCTAATATTTGTGTCTGTGGATTAAAATGTTACTTTAAAATCCTTTCTTATTTCCTTAGTCATTTATTAAAGAGAGAAAAAATGGGCCAAGCTGTTAACTTTCCTGTTTTCTTTGTTTTTTTTTAAGAATGAAATATTTTTATGGGGTTTTTGGTTTATATTTTTCTTCCCGTTGGAAATCCCTTCCCTTTTTTTTTTTAGGAAGATATTTTATTAGTCAGTGCTTGTTTCCTAATGTTTTTGCTCCTTTTTTCTCCAGTGTTTGCTCTAAATGTTCTTTCTTTAGAAATTTTCCATGATTTGCATCAAGACATTCAGGAAGGGTTTAAAGACAACTATTTGTGTAGCTCCACTTAAAACAGTTTGAATAAAAAATAGCATTTGTAAAAGTGCTCCTATCCATTTGACAGAGTACAGTACTATTTTAATAATTGAGTATAGATAAGACCAATTTCATAGTTTTCTTACTAGCTTATTACCTAGGATTAGTCTTTATCTGTTATGTACATATTTTATATTTTTTGTGGCTGTTTAAAAGTGACTAAAAAAAAATTAAAATGACTGAACTTAACCTCTAGTTATTTTGGTGTCCCACCCCACCTCCCCCAAGGTTTTGAAGATATGGTTTCAAACCAGCTGAGCTTCCCTGGTAGCTCAGAAGTAGAGAATGTGCCTGCAAGTGCAGGCGACAGAGGTTTGATCCCTGGATCTGGAAGATCCTCTGGAGAAGGAAATGGCAACCCACTCTGGTATTCTTGCTTGGAGAATCCCATAGACAGAGGAGCCTGGCGGACTATAGTCCAAGGAGTCGCAAAAGAGTTGGGCGCGACTTAGCCACTAAACAGCAGCAACATAGTGATCTTACTATAAAATGTTCAACAGAAGAGTAAAGTAGCTGATTATTTTTAAAACTGGTAGCATTGGAGAAGAAAAGGTGAATGGGGGAAAATAGATATCATTTAGAACTTAATGTTCCTTTCTTCTGAAGTCTTTGAATAGCAACAAGCAGAACTTGAGTTGACAATTACTATAGCATAGTATCTGCTAGCTTTTTTCCTTAAGGCATTATGTTTGCTTTTAAAAGCTATTGTTCTGTTTTTAAGTTTCTTTGAATAATGACCTTATAAATGAATATGATTTTCTCTTGAACTTCTTTTTTGGAGTTTATTTTAATTTACTTCTTTTTAATCTTTTGATTCTTAGGGCCATCCTATGGTAGTTCTGTCAGTACTCTGTTCTTAAAGTGATTTCAGTTTCTTTAAAAAAAAAAATCCTAATTCCCACTGACTGTCTTTATCCTTTCTCTGCTATGCAGAACCTGTTCACCCCCCACCTTCCTTCATTCCCTCTTTAACATCTTTCAAAATGTAGTATTCTGTTACAAGATTAGGGGAAAAAGTTGGTGTCTTAACGGAGGTTCCAAGCTTAAAGCAACCTTGTGAATTGCAGCTTAATAGGAAATAATTGATATTCTTGAGTTGCCTACAAGGGCAGAGTCTATTTCTTGAAATATTTTATAGACATGATATCATTGCAAAATTTTTTAAAAAGCCTTCCCAGAATGCCTTCATTGTTTTCCCACACTCATCTTCCCCCCACACTTAATCTCACTTCTTAGAGAATTCATACGCTTTTCAAAATGCCATCTACCCGTTTTTTGCTATTATTTTTTTTTTATCATTTCTGATTATTTCATGTGGGCTAGATTTGTTTCCCAAGCCAGATTATGTTTGTTCAGAGATAGTTCTCAGTACTTAAGACATAAGCCAAGGATGTAATTTGGGTAAGAAACCTTAATATTAAGTTGTTCAGTAAATTCTTTAAAATTAATCTAATTTTAAGAGATGAGAAAATTATGAATTAGATGGAGATAGTGGATTCTTGATTTTTTTTTTCTTAGATGAATTTTTGTCTTAATATATGTAATGTTTCTTTTCTTAGTTATTTACCATTGATGCTTTGTTGGACTATTTGATTAATGTCAATCTGGAGATATTTCTCTGAGTTTTTCCAATTTAAATCCGTACTTAATTGCATCTGGTTTATATTTTACCAGTGACTTTGATGAAATTGCTTCCCTTGTGGCTCAGCTGGTAAAGAATCCACCTGCAATTCGGGAGACCTGGGTTTGAGATCTGGGTTTGATCCCTGAGTTGGGAAGATCCCCTGGAGAAGGCAGAGGCTACCCACTCCAGTATTCTGGCCTGGAGAATTCCATGGACTGTATAGACCATGGGGTTGCAAAGAGTCGGACATGACTGAACGACTTTCACTTTGACTTTTCGATCTCACTTGCTATCTCAATCTTGAATTGAGCAACTAAGAAGATGACTTTTTTATAGGAATGAATGTAATGTTAACAGAGTAACTCTACTTGTGTTGGAGGGGAGAGAACTGAGTAATTTGTTGATTTGAAAATGGGTTCAGTTTACTGGGAATTCTCCAGGAAATAGTAGCTTAACCAAGATGTGTTATTTCTCTTCCATGTTCATGATAGATAGAGCACTGACCTGGCTTCTCTGATAGATTCATCAAAAATTCTGATTGCAGTCTTCTACTTATTATTTGATCTTCATTTCTTTGAGTTCTTAATTCTGAGCCATGTACTTTTATTGCTTGCCAAGTTATATGGTTACTCATTCTGACTCAGATTACTGATGAGTTCTCCTTGGGGAAGTAAAGAGAAGAAGTTTTTGCAAAGTATTGATAAAGAATGTCACCCAGAAGGAAACTTCTCTAGAGCCATTTGTGTTCTCCTTAATTTCTCCTGGAATTAAATGTACATAGCGAAAACAGATCAGTGCATTTTTATTTTCAAAAGAGATCATTGAACTTCTTGGTAACTTCAGTCAGGGCCAAGGGAGGTCATTCATTTAAAGTCTATAAATAACCCCAACAAAAATTTGATAGCAATACAAATTTAAAATTGACTGTTTCTAAGCTGATAGAATTACTTTATGTAAATATTAGGTAAAATCATTACACTTTTAAGATATAAAAATTTTAAAAGGCAAATCAATGATGAAAAATGCCATTATGGTATAATTTCATGCATAATTTGACTTAAAATTTTATTGTTTCCAAGTTGCACTTAAATTTGTCTCTGATTAATTGACCATAATATTTCTGGTTGAGTTACATTTGAATGGATTGAAGATTAATATTTAAAATTTTATAGTTCTTTATAATTGACACTTATTCAGTCTGTTCCTCTTTTAGGCAAAATGCTGTCTTTTAGGGGGAATTTCAAAGTAATTTGTGTTCTGAGACTCATCTAAAGGAGCAGCTTTTAAAAGAAAAAAACATTTTTCTTTATTGTATGCTTATATGAAGTGAATTAAAACCTTTCACATCAGAAAATCAAATAAAAATGCATTTTAAAAATCAAATAAAAATTTAACAAATTTTTATCTATTTTTTTTTTGCGGTTTAAACATCCCTTTTAGGAATGGGGCAGAACATTTTTTTGGTCTGGACTTTTTCAGGGCTACTTTTGGGGCATTAACCTGGTATAATGTGCTTCTCCTTTTCTATAAGACTTGGATCTCATTCTTGTGTGTGTGTGTGTGTGTGCGCGCGCACATGTGCATGTGTCTGTGTGTAGCTCCTTTTTTTTCTTTTTGTAAGCCTCTTTATTTTCCTTTTGTTAATTCTTCATGCTAAGTCTATGCATATGGTCTTTTACCTTGAAATTACTTAATTACCTAATTCTTAACATGGCAGGCTATCTCTGTGTCATCATTTTCTTTTTTTCCCTTTCAAGTCTGTATCTAAGCTTGTATATGTAGTACAAGTTTATTATCTATGTTTGTATTTTACCGTTGATAGTTGACTCATGAGCATAGACTTTAATAGATATAAGTGTTGTTGGTCTTATTTTCCAGGCCAGAGATCCTCAGCAGGAGCCTATGGAAGAGATAGAAAATTTGAAGAAACAACATGATTTATTAAAAAGGATGTTACAGCAGCAGGAGCAGCTGAGAGCTCTGCAGGGACGACAAGCTGCTCTCCTTGCCCTGCAGCATAAAGCCGAGCAAGCTATAGCTGTGATGGATGATTCTGGTATGCTACTGTCTTAGGGTGTTGTTTTTATAAGTAAGGCCCAGTAAGGAATGATAGGATTGCAAGGTTAGATGCTGGTTGTTATATAATCAGATATAGGATTGTTGCCTAGTTTAGAAACCTACATGTAAGGCTTACTCTGTCCTGTGCTTTTCTCCGGTTATGCAGAAAAGGTTGCAGAGACAGCTCCTGGCCATCATACTGTACCAGGCAGACAGCCGGCTCGTTCACCTCTGCATCAGAGAGTACCCATAAGAGGTAAAGGGACGGGCTGTCGTTCTGTTTTTGCACCTCAGATTGATAGGGTTCTTGTTGCTTTTATTTTTGTGTTTTGTACTTAATTCAGCTAGGATTGCCATACTTTGCTTGCCTGCCAAGGAAGGGTTAAAACTTTTAAGTGAGGCAGTGGATAAATGTAAGCTTCTTTAGCTTCACTATTGTTTCTGTAAGGTACCCAATTGTATGCACTAGTTCCTTTGAACTAAATTTGTATCCTATCCAGTCTCCCTGAGACTCAGAAAGGTTCTTTCCTTTCTTCCTTCTTCCTTCAGTCCTGTATCATTTAGATGGAAATAGTATTGAGTTCTTTGGTATTGAATCTAACCTTATAGTTCTCATTACTTTCAAACCTAAGTGTTTAATTTCTCAGTAAGTCAAAAACAAATTGTTACTTTTTAGAACTCAGGAAAACTAGGTCTAATTTGTAGTAGTGTGTCGTCCCAGTCTAATAATAATTTATCTCCTGTGGGCTCTCCATTTTAGGTTCTTACTGTAGTTATGCTGTTGTTATTCAGTTTATCATGCTGTCTACACCGAGCTCATTGGCTCAACCTTCTGATCACTGTTGTTCATAATTTAATTTTCCATTTTCATAGGAAATTTTTATGACTTGTAAGTTAACTTACTCTTTCATAGTTATTATATATAGTATAGAATATACCATATACTTATAGTTGTATATATATGGTATAGTATACAATTATAATTATGCAACTCTTCATCCCTATTTTTCCCTTGTAGTAAGCAGGTAATTTTTTTTTTTCTTTTTTTTACTGTACTATTATGAGTCTGGGACCAAGAGAAGGGACAGGAATTTAAATTTGAATTTATTTTTTGTACTAGTTCAAAAAGAATTTTAGGTTAATGATTGAAGACAGTTTTACTCTTGCACTTACGAGATTTTGCAGGAGAATACTGATGGAAAAACAAACTTACAATAATTAATCCTCTGGTCTAGAAGAGAGGCAACATGATTTTCATGGGAAAGAGTTTCCCTTTCATAAGTTAATTAGCTTGTATGTTATCGTAGACTCTAATTTATGTTTTTCAAATAGTTTGGACTAGATACATGGGATATTATCCTGCCGTGAAATTCTAATTTCTCATTGAAAAAGCTAATAGTTTCCTTCAAAACAGAAATAGTTTATAGTATCTTTTAGAGCTGGAAAAATAACCATGGTTAATGAGTAGTAGAGCAGTAACTGTTCTCAAAATTGTCATCAGAATACTGCCTTGGGAATACTGCCTAACAAAGATAAAAACTGTGGTCTTTTAGTATAGCTTGTATGGCAAGCAAGTGCTTCAATAAATTACCTGTTCTATTGTAGAAGTCAGCAAACTGGCCTGAAATTAAGTTTCATGGAACACAGCCATGTTCATCTGTTTATGTATTACATATAGTTGCTTTTGCCCTGCAAAGGCAGAATTGGGTAGTTGAAACAAGTAATGTATTTCCACAGAGCCTAACGTATTTACTATCTGAATCTTTAAGAAAAGTTTGCCAACCACTGTATAGAGCATTGATTTTGTTGGGGGTGAGGTAGGGATTGAGGCTGGTGAGAATCAGCTGGGCTTTTTCAGACTCACCACTTTCCCTGCCACTTTTCCAGCCCAATTTGGTAGACCTGCTTGCACCCCGACTCTGTTAGAGTCCCTATTATTTTTCCCCTTTAAAAAAAAATATTTTTAATTGAAGGATAGACTGCTTTACAGCATTGGTTTGATTTCTGCCATACATCAACATGAATTAGCTATAGGTATACATATGTCCCCTCCCTCAAGAACCTCCTTTCCACCTCCCACCCTTTCCCACCCCTCTAGGTTGTTACAGAGCCCCAGTTGGAGTTCCCTGAGGCGTACAACAAATTTCCGTTGGCTGTCTGTTTGACATGTGGTATATGTGTTTCCATGGTACTCCTTCCATTCACCTCATCCTCTCCTTCCTTCCCCTCCCCTCCTGCCCTTGTGCATAAGTCTTCTCTATGTCTGTCTCCATTGCTGCCCTGCAAATAGATTGATCAGTACCATCTTTCTAGATTCCATATGTATGTGTTAATATATGATATTTGTTTTTCTCTTTCTGACTTTCTTCACTCTGTATAATAGGCTATAGGTTCATCCACCTCATTAGAACTGTGTTGAGTCCTTTTTCTTAATTGAAATGTAGCAGTTTCCCTTCTTGACTGTTGGGACAGAAAGAGTTGAGCCACAATACTAGAGTTTTGTGAGTTTTCCTTTATTTCAGGTTAGATGGAAACATAAAATGATTAGTTGGCAGATAAAAGTTAACTAGTTTCAACTTACATTAAGTGACATTTTTAAGCCCCCACCCCTACTCTTTAATTTGGGCTTCACAGGTTGTTTAGATGGTGAGGAGTGCCTGCAATGCCGGAGATGTGGGTTTGATCCCTGGGTCAGGAAGATCCCCCTGGAGAAGGAAATGGCAGCCCACTCTAGTATTCTTGCCTGGGAAATCCCATGAACAGAGGAGCCTGGCGTGGTACATTCCATGGAGTCACAAAGAGTCAGACACGACTGAGTGACTAAGCATACCCCCTTCCAATTTATTTTTAGCTTCTCAGAAGTAAAAGTGTTGTTTTCATTTATTTGTTTTAATGAATAGTTGTTCATTTTCTTTCTAATTGTAACAGAAACTACAGGTAGCCTATCTGGAGTCAGTATCACCTCTGAACTAAATGAAGAATTGAATGATTTAATTCAGCATTTTCATAATCAGCTTCGTGATTCTCAGGTATCTGATTGCCGTGATTCTGTATGCCGTGATTCTCATGGCGGCACTTCATTATTTTGGTGTACTGGATTTAAAATCACATTAATGAAAACAGTGCTTCTCAAACTTTAGCAAGCATAGATGTCACGCAGCATGATTGTTAGAAATTGTAGATTTCTGGTCAGTGGGAACCTCCACTTTCAAAATTGTTTTGATTCGCACATTTGAGATGGGCATCCTGCTGTGCTATTCCACTGCTGGACATCTTGGGACTTTACTTTGGGAAACACTAAATTAGAGGAAATACCTCCTTTAAATGTAGTGATGAATGAAACTTCCCCTTTGTATGCTTCTAGATGACATATTCTTATTTTACCTTAAAGATTGTGTAGTCACAACTGTTATTGTGAATCTGTGTTTTTGCAGTGTTTTACTAACAAGGAAGTTCTAAAGTTTAATTTCAGAGTTAATAAGTTATAATTTGATGACCTTTGTAAATAATGATATAAATGAAAATTTTCAGTCTGTGGCCCTTGAATATTAAAGGGTGAATTAATCTCTCTCCACTGGAAATGAGTATGATTGACAGTGCATTATCTCCTGTCTGCTGACCAGCTTAAAATGACCCAGCTACTTTGGGAAGTTTCAACTACTTTGGAGAGTTATTTAGCAGTATCTAGTACATTTTCTCTGGTGACCCTGCAGTGGCCCACCTTGGAGAAACTCAGATGTTCAAAAGGAGATACCTACAAGAATGTTCATGGCAGCATTGTATTAATAGCAAAGCAGAAACAATCTAAATGTCCATGAACAGGAAAATGGGTTAATAAATTATGATATACACAGAATGAAATCCCATGACCAGTTACAGTAAATGAACCAAAGCTAATGAATGAAAATGAAAGTTTAAGAAGGATACCACTTAGCTTATCTTTTAAAATGTGTCATGAATGTATATTTTTTATGGATACATACATAGGTATTACAAAATAAAAACATGTATGAGAATGGTAGGTGTCAAATTCCAGATTGTGGTTATCTCTTGAGAGAGTAATTAGTTGAGATTTTGTACATATAAAGCTTTAGCTTTAATATTATATCCATAATATTTCTCTTAAAGAATTGATGTGAATGTGGCAAAGTATTGAGTGAGCCAAAAATTTGTTGGGGTTTTTCCTGTAATATCTTAATATTAAATATTGAAACTGGACTAAAGTCAGTGATGGTTATTCATTATATGATTCCCTAATCCTTTGTGGATTTATGTTTCATAAATATTTCATTAATTTTTTTTAATAGGAAAGAAGTATTAGGAAAAACTGATAGGTAAAGGAGTTCATGATGGTGATTCTGAAAAGATGGCAAGAGAGAGGATGAGATTTCTGAAGGTTTATTCTGTATAAAATGTGACATTTCTAGCACTTAATTTAGATCCAGGTAATAACATCCAGTAAATAGCCACTGTGTAATTATTTGTGTCTATAAAACAGTATATATCACAGTATATATAGTGGCACATCAGGAAACTGTATGTAATTGGGGAAAAGGAAAGACATATGCTTACCCAGCAGCACAACCTGCACAGATGTTTATCTCTTTTTATAAAGAATATTTATGCATCTTTAAAATGAGAATGCAGCCTTGAATTGCCTTTATTTTTCTTCTTCTTCTTTTTTAATAAGCCTCCAGCTGTTCCAGACAATAGAAGACAAGCAGAAAGTCTTTCATTAACTAGGGAGATTTCTCAGAGCAGAAATCCATCAGTTTCAGAGCATTTACCTGATGAGAAAGTCCAACTTTTTAGCAAGATGAGAGTGTTACAAGAAAAGAAACAAAAAATGGACAAACTGCTTGGAGAACTTCATACACTTCGAGATCAGCATTTGAACAATTCATCATGTAAGTAAATCTGGCTCAGCAGTGAGTAGAGGACACATAAGTATATATGTCAACGTGTAGTAATTACTTTGTAAATATTTGATGAATGAATGAATGCATAGTTACTCAAGAAAATTATAATTTTTGTGGTGAAATAGGACTTGCATGTGAAACATTTTTGAATAATGAAGCAATGTAATGTAGAGCCAAATAGATGGTAGATATGTTCTATAAAATTCAGAATAAAAGATGAATTTGGGCTTGAAAAATTGGTAGCATTTTAGAAAGGGAAAAATATCAAAGCTCTTAGATACTTGTACATAGTAATGCTGCACTTCTTAGCATATCCAAAATTTTTCCTTAAAGAAAAACTAAGCCAGATTACTACATTTATTTTAAAATTGTGAAACAGATTTAGGAAATATTTATATGAAAAAAACTGAGATATGAAAAACTTACTTAGTGCAGAAAGTTCCAAACACCACAGTTTTTGAAATATAGAAATAGTCATCTTAGGTGGGAATAGAAAAGGCATACAGTCAGCCTAGTTATACTTACTGTATAACTATATTATATAGCTTATACAGCTATAAGCTATATTATATAGCTTAATATACTAGTTAAATAATTATACAACCATCTCTTAGTATCCATGGGGGATTGGTCCCAGTACTCCCACCCACACCCTCTACAGATAACAAAATGTGAGGGTGCTTAAGTCCCTTATCTAAAATGGCATAGAATTTACATATAATCTAAGCACCTCCTCCAGTACACTTGAAATCATCTCTGGGTTACTTACAATATGTAATACAATGTCAATGCTGTGTAAACAGTCAACCAGCATGCTGCAGATTCACTTTTTTTTTTTTTCCTGAATATTTCCTGTCTGCTTTTTGTTAAATCTGCAGATCTCTTGGATACGGAGGGCTGATTGTACTAGTTATTTATATTGATTTATAACTAGTTAGTTATATAAGAAAACCAATGGTCATCTCAGTTATACTGTAGAAACTGTCTTTTCCGACCTCAGATGTTTTACTTGCCTTTGTCTAATTGAGATCTAATTTCTTGTCCTCATTTAACCTCATCCTTCTCCAAGTTTGGTCACTGCTTCTTCCTCAGTTGATAGTAGGAGCTGTACATTGGAAATTAGAATTGGCAGGGTCAACCCCACTGGTCATTATTCTCTAGCATTTCAGCCGCTGTCTTAATAAAGAAAAAACAAGGGATAGAAAACCATCTCTGGATCCCTTTTCCTTGTTCTTCAACCTAATTCTCTGCCACCCTCGAAGAAGTGTGCTATTTCCTCCCTGAAACACACTCTTCTCTTTCCTCCGACTTCAGCTACTCCTCCCCCTCCTTCAGAGTGTAATCCAGTCCCAATGCATATTCTTCTAAACTGATGATCATAACCAAGAAAAACGTCTTTAAATTTTTCAGAAGTTGTACTCTTGTCTTGTGGTCAGTTTTATATATATAAAGAAAGGAGCACTCTGTCTACTGAGACTAAAAAATGATATTTTTCTCTGGGAAAAAGCGTGAAAGCAGCAGCAAAAGGTAGAACAGTCAAGGAATAGAAAGAAAAGACTATTGGAAACCAGCTGTAGCAGGTGATAATGTGAGCAACAAATGATGGTTGTCATTGTGAGAAAGATAAATGATAATAGCTTAGAGTGGTAGGAGAGAGAGAAGCACGAAGATTCTTAGTCTTCATTCATTGTGCTTGAAAGTATAAGATATCTTTGTCTGATCTGTGTGGACAGAAGAGTAATTAAAATACAGTTCAAGAGCTGAAGAGGATTAGCCATCAACCAATTAGAAAATCTTATTACATTTCATGGTGTAATGTACCACAGTCACTTTAGCAATTTTGGTTTATGTTTTGGAACAAGAAGAGTTCCATCTTGGAGACCAGATAGAATCCCTCTGGAGTGGAACATTCTCAGGGACCTGATCAGCCAGGGCTGCCCCCTAAACTTGTAGCTGGTGGGCTGCGCATCGTACACGGTGGCTGTGCTGGCTTAACCTAGAACCAGACTGATCTGAGAAGCACTCGTGTTACCTTTTCAAAGTAGAATATCATAGTCCTTGTTGATTTCCATCTTGTCTTCCTGCTCTTCTTTCCTTTCTGTTTTAACTCTGGTTGGTTGAGGGACTTGTTAATAAACAAGTAGCCTGGATGTTATATGCTTAAGTTTTGCATTTTAAAGCTGCAGAATTTAAGATGTTAATGACTTTTAGTTTTCATTTTTCTTTATCCAAGCAAAGTGTGAATGTGTTGTTTGATGCCATATTTATGTATGTTACCTGGCTTTTTTTTTTTTCTTTTTTGGTAGTTGTGCCTTCTTCAGCCTCTCCACAAAGGAGTGTGGATCAGAGAAGTACAACCACAGCTCCCTCTGCTCCTGTAGTCTTAACACCAGTGGTCAATGGAGAATCCAATAACCTCATGCCATCTGTTCCTTATCCTGCTGCTTCTTTAGTTTCTCAGAATCAGAATGAAAATGAAGGCCACCTAAATCCAACTGAAAAGCTCCAGTAAATAATTTCTATGCACATTGTTTACATAGATTATAGTTGAATCATAGGGTCAAATTTGGGGTTTTTTGTTGAAAATTCTGGAAAAACTGAATTTAATATGATAAACATTCTTAAGTGACATAGTGGAAGAGTAAGTGTGTGTGTATTATACATGCGTTTTTGAGTTATCCTAGAGAAATGTAATTTCTGTGAGCTAATGTATTCCTGGGGTCTTCTCAGTGGTAGAGGATCAACCTGCCAGTGCAGGAGAGACAAGAGATGCGGGTTTGATCCCTGGGTTGGGAAGATCTGAAAGAGGGCATGGCAACCTTCTCCAGTATTCTTGCTTGGAAAATTCCATGGGCAGAGGAGCCTGATGGGCTATAGTCCGTAGTGTCACAAAGAGTCAGACAAGACTGAGTGAGCGAGCACAGCAGTACATAATATATTTCCTATTTTACAAGTAAAGGGACTGCAGTTAAAAGAGCTGTGTATTTTAGCCCAGACTATAGAGTCAGATAGCCTTGAAGTTGTATTTCACAAGGCTGTGTGACTGTGGACAAATAGCACCCTCACTAAGCCTTTTTCTCTTTGTCTGGCATAATATATTTGATCATAAAGGCGTTTTAAGTATAAAAACTATTGGCATTATTCCTGGAATTCAGTAAGAACTCAACAATCTAATTATTATTAAATGTGACATACTTTATAGATCTCTATATATTGTAGACAAATTGAGAATCTTCCGTAAATGCTCAGTAATCCCTGTATATCGGATTTGCCTGAGAGGTACTATTTAAATGAAATATTTAGTACTTCACATTATTGATACTTACTAAGAAACCTAGGAATATCTTTGACATTAAGATTTAAGCTGTTAACGTTTGTACCTGTTTAAAGTGAGCACTTTAAGGAGAATTTCTTTCATTTTTGTCTGTACATTTTTGTCTGTTCAGATATAAGGTGATGAGATTTTGAATAACCTGTACTTGAAATTAAATTCATTGTAGTATACCCTGGGTATTTGACTGAGTTTAACATTTGTATGTGTTGGCTGCTACTGTATGGAAATAGTTTATACCTTATTTTACTAAAATGGGTGTTAATTTGTATATATTTGTTGTTTATCAGGAAGTTAAATGAAGTTCGAAAGAGGTTGAATGAATTAAGAGAATTAGTTCATTATTATGAGCAAACATCAGATATGATGACAGATGCTGTGAATGAAAACACAAAAGAAGAAGATACTGAAGAGTCAGAATATGATTCCGAGCATGAAAACTCTGAACCTGTTACTAACATTCGGTAAGAACTTTTTTTAAGTTTGTTTTTCTAACATATTCATTCTAACAGTACTTTTAATATGGAACAGAAAACCCTCAGTAGAGTACTTACTGTTTGCGTTTTACTTCAGCTTTTCTCCTGTAAGTCTGCTGTTTGGTCAGGGTAATCTTAGCTTGTCCTGTAAAGAAAAGCGAGTAGGGATGTATTGAGTACAGAAGGTTAGTAAATTTTCTGTTTGTTACATCAAATATAAGTTAATTATAAGAAGTATATAACTTCTCATTTTCCTGCGTCTTTATTTTTTGGTGTAATTTTAATTTTTTTGTTGTAATTTTTATTTTTTTAAGATACTTTTCTTCTTAAATTTCTGGATAGCTAAAGCTAGTGAAATGCAGGAGCCATTTATTTAAAAGATGAAATTAAATGGGGAAATAGCCAATGACGTCCATAGTTTGTAATTATTTTATTAGTAGTTCTAAAACTTTGATATTTTAATATTACATGTATTTTTTTCCCTTAAGTAACTTGAGGTTGTTTTCCTTCCTTTCAGAAATCCACAAGTAGCTGCCACCTGGAATGAAGTAAATAGTAATTCTAATGCACAGTGTGTTTCTAACAATAGAGATGGGCGAGCTGTCAATTCTAACTGTGAAATTAACAACAGGTCTGCTGCCAACATAAGGGCTCTAAACATGCCTCCTCCTTCAGGTATGATTGACTCTATTCATAGACACTTGTACCATATTCTTGGGAAGTGGATTTTCTTTCTTTAGAGCTCTTAATTCAGTTCATTAAGTTACTGATTTCAGTGATGCATATTTTCAGCAGATTGTCAGTACAATAGAGAAGGAGAGCAGGAGATGCCTGTCGCACAAGGTCAGGAGGAGGAGGAGGAGGAGGAGGGAGCAGAAGAAGAGGCCCTCAGTGGAGCTTCACTGTCCAGTCGCAGCAGCAGCCTGGTCATTGAGACTCCTGAAGACGCTGAATTTGAACATAAGATCCAGAAGCTTATGGCTGCAAAGCTGAAACTCAGACACTTACAGAACCTTGTTGCCATGGTGCAGGTAAATACTGCCTTTTTAAAAAAAAATCTGTCAAAAAAAGTACAGTCTTGTAAGGTAAAATGTGTGTATATGTTTGATAATTATGTGGGTATAAGTTTACTAGTATATGTTTATTGAATTCTAACTATATAGTGGTTTATATGCTTAGCACTTTACATGCCATATTACCAGAGATCAGCAAACTTTTCCTAAGGGTGAATTAGTAAATATTTTAGGCTTTGTGGGCCAAACAGTTTCTGTCACAATACCCAGCACAAAAGCAGCAAGAGACAGTAAACAAATGAGCATGGCTGTGTACCAGTATAACTTTATTACAAAAATAAGTTTGTCTTCCTGCCAGAGATTCTAGTTCTGTATCATGTAGAACTCAGTAACATCTCAGTTAGGTGGGTATACATACAGATTAAAAATGTTAATTGACCACAGTTGTACTATTGTCAGAGCCAGAGTTGAGACTTCTGGCTGAGATCTTAACTCACTTGATGTAGAAAAACCATATGTTGTCTGAATTTTATTCAGTAAGGCCAAATAAGTAAAAGTTGGACCTTTTAGTTGTAAATTTTAAAAAAGCCATTTGTATATATGAACATAAAATTACATAATTATTAATACACTTCTAGACAGTGTATTTATTGACTGTTGTGGTCCAAAGTTATGACTAGCTATAAACCTTTTTAAAAATGACTGAACTTTTAAAAATCGATCCTTTTCATCTGTTACATATATAGTTCTATTGTTTTCTCAGCAACGTAATCACTGTATAGAAATATCCTTAAGAGTGTTTCTAAAGTATTCAAATTTATATGATTTTTGAAATCCAGAAATCTTCTGGTAAAATTAGTGATTTGTTTTCATTTAGGTTTGCTTAGCTTATGTTACGTCAAAAAAATGAAGTGTATATAACCACACTAATAAATGTATAAAAAAAAATTTTTTGGCGAATAAAAAAATTTAAGTATTATTTACAACCTCTTTTGAAATGCTTATTTTGAATTATTCAGGTGAAAGGTGACTGTATACTTTATTTTAAAATAAAGGAAACATTACTTGTAAACTTCCTCTGAACTTCGATAATCCCATTCTTCACAGAGATTGCTGTACATTTAAGTCAGTTTGCAGTTGTAACAAAAATTACATAAGAGTTTTGTTTTTTATTTCTTTGTGTTTATATAGATTGTATTATTTTACAGCTTGCTTTTTTTCCTACTACACATGTCAGAGATTTCTTCATATCAGTGTGTTGTTTTTCAGTTGCTAATCATGTCCAAATCTTTGTGACCCCATGAGCTGTAGCATGCCAGGTTTCTTCGACTACATATCAGTGTATATATATACCTCTCTATATGATTACATAGATAAATAATGAAGTATAAATAATACCATATATGTTTATATATACATATACGTTGTTGTTCTGTTGCTAAGTTGTGTCTGACTTTGCAATCCCATGTACTGCAGCACACCAGACTCCCCTATCCTTTACTATCTCCTGAAGTTTGTTCAAGTTCCTGTCCATTGAGTTGGTGATTCTGTCTAACCACCTCATCCTCTGCAGCTGCCTTCTTTTTTAACCTTCAGTCTTTCTCATCATAAGGATCATTTCCAGTGAGCCAGGTCTTTGCATCAGGTGACCAAAGCATTGGAGTTTCAGCTTCAGCATCAGTCCTTCCAGTGAATATTCAAGGTTGATTTCCTTTAGGATTGACTGATTGGATCTTATTGCAGGCCAAAGGACTGTCAAGAGTCTTCTCCAGCACCGCAGTTTGAAGTCATCAGTTCTTCAGTGCTCAGCCTTCTTTATGGTCCAACTCTCACATGCGTACATGACTAATGGAGAAACAATAGCTTTGACTATATGGACCTTTGTTGGCAAAGTGATGTCTCTGCTTTTTAATATGCTAAGTTTGTCATATCTTTCCTTCCAAGGAGCAAGCATCTTTTAATTTTGTGGCTGCAGTCACCATCTGCAGTGATTTTGGAGCCCAAGAACACAAAATCTGTCACTGTTTCCACTTTTTCCCCTTCCATTCACCATGAAGTGATGAGACCAGATGCCATGATCTTAGTTTTTTTAATGTTGAGTTTCAAGCCTGGTTTTTCACTCTGCTCTTTCATTCTCATCAAGAGGCTCTTCAGTGTATCTTCACTTTCTGCCATTAGAGTGGTATCATCTGCATATCTGAGCGTGTTATTTCTCCCAGCAGTCCTGATTCCAGCTTGGGAATAATAAATGAGAAATGATGAATAACTTGGTGGCTTATATAGATGAGTCAGCTTAACTTCAGGTTTATGTTGAATGGAGCTCTTTTGACATGTATGGAAAAAAAAGAACACTGCAACCCCAGAGGATTAAGGGGCCTTCTCCCGAGAGCTTTTTAAAAAATGATCCAAAACTCCCCAAGTTTTTATGTGTTTAAGATTGATAAGTTTTATTTATTTTATTATGGGTAGTTTTCTTTTGCTTGTGCCTTTACTTGTATCCTTTTTTCCCAAGGGACTCAGGAGAAGTTCTAAACAGTTATATAGTTATCATGATTGTATAAAACTATCATTATTCCTGATTAGATTAAGTGAGACAACTTACATGCTCTGTAAAACCTTATAATGTCTTTTAAGTCTCCACATGTCCATCTGATGTATCTTAGTCTGTAAAACAATGTGTTAGTGCCCTGCAAGAGTAGAGTCTCTGTTTCCTGTCCTGTGGAAGTTCTATAATTAAACCCTACTGGCCTTCAAAGTCAGATTCCCTGAGGATTCCCAGTCCCTTTGCCAGATCCCCAGGCTGGGGAGACTGATGGGCGGCCTAGAACCTTCACAATAGTGCGAGAACTTCTTTGGTATTATTGTTCTCCAATTTGTGGGTCACCTACCCGCTGGGTATAGGATTTGATTTTATTATGATTGCAACCCTCCTGCTATCTCATTGCTGCTTCTCCTTTGTCCTTGTATGTGGAGTATCTTTTTGGTGGGTTCCAGTGGCCACCTGTCAATGGTGGTTCAACAGCTAGTTGTGATTCTGGTGCTCTCTCAGGAGAAGATGAGCACTCGTCCTTCTGCACTGCCATCTTGAACCAGTCTCTTGTAATACAACATGTGTTACATCAGTAATTCTGTAGTCAGTTACTTTTAGTGTTGGAGTTTATATCAAGTGTTCAGACACCCTCATATAACAATCTGAAACTTAAGGGTATTTTTTTTCTCATACTTTGGTTTTTCCACTTCTTATTGTGTAAAAATGCCTCATGGTCCATCTTTGGTATCTTTGGGTTGCAACTCAGTTTCTTTTTAAGCTTACCATTTTAGTAATATATTAGCTTAGCTTTTAGATCTATGAGAAGACCAGAGTAACACCATGTCTAGAAACTTAAAATGGATTAGACAGGTTTGCAATCTAGTCAGCTTCAACTTTTTAAGATTTTACTAGAATTCTATATCCAGCAGTTAAAAGTTTCAGTTGATACCTGCAGAGAAAGCGTGTATAAAGTGTACAGTGTTAAATATTTTTAAGAAAACGTGACAGATGACCTCCAGTCTTAACAGTTTAATAAGTACATTGATTTTAACAGAAGATATGGACCCACTGTTAGGAAGATAAGTAATTTGTTGTTGTTTTTGTCTTTCCAGTGACACATTTGAGTTGGTACATTCTCATTAGCTTTTCTATTGGGATCCATTGGTACTTGTTTCACAAACTAAATACCAGCGTGAGGAAATGGAAAACTAACTGAGCAAGTGATACTAGACATAAATTATTAAATTGTTGGTATAAAAGTTACATCTGAAGAAAAATCTCATATCAAGAGGTCTCAGCTTCAGTGATACAGTTTTTATCTTTTTCATATAAGCTGTTTTTTGATAGTTCATAATCTGGTCAAGGAAGGAGAAGGCAAACTAGTATTTGCCATTACTGGGTAATTGGCAGCTCAAATTATTAATGTACTGTTTTAGTTTTAGTACTTTGTTTCCTGTCATTGGTAGAAGATGAACTTCATTATTCTCTAAAAATCATATGCTTTCCCTATTGCTTTCAATTTTATGTGAATTTTACAACCAAGTCATATTTACTAAGGTATGAATTGGATAATGTCTTTACATAGCAAGATCATTTTAATATAATGATGCTATTTTAGGATGATGATGCAGCCAATCAAGGAGTAACCTCTGTGGAGGATTTCTTCCCAGCAGAAGACACCAAACAAAATGCAAATAACACTAGAGGAAATACCAATAAAACACAGAAAGATGCTGGAGTAAATGAAAAGGCAAGGTATGTTAAGCTTCTGACTTTCATGTCATAAAATTTTAGAAAGTCTCCATAGGTACTCTACTACATCGTGTTTAATGCTGTTATCAGATTTACTGGAGTCCACAAATATAATGTCAATTTAATTATAGAGAGAAATTTTATGAGGCTAAACTACAGCAGCAACAGAGAGAGCTCAAACAATTGCAGGAAGAAAGAAAGAAACTGATTGAGATTCAAGAGAAAATTCAAGAATTGCAAAAGGCATGTCCTAACCTACAGGTAATTAGGAAATTTCTTTGTTTGTCTGAAGAAAGATGTTTAAAACCTTAATGTCAGTTGAAAGTACTCCCTGTCTTTTCTAATACTACTAATATGATAGATTTATAAGTCTTTTATGATTAAAGAAATGGATGGACAAATGAAATGGGTTAGGGATGTACCTTTATACTGTGAAATATAGCACGTAGGAATTAACTCTGATTATTTACATTCTTTCACTTGTTGGGCTGCCTGGCTATTGATTCAGAACATGTGTGTTCATAACTATTTATTATATTAAGATATTTTGGTTTGAACTTTGCAGTTAAGGGAGAAGCATTTCCATTTCTTCCTGGTCTAAAATTACATGGTAGAGCTGTTAAGCTACCATGAGTTTTTTTGGAAATTAAAATATTTTATTTGTAGTTTGAATATTATATGTATATATGCTTATTAAATAGTACCCCACGCATGGGTGTTTGAGATTGAGCAGAGAACGTACAGTCTTTGTCCATGTCACATAATCAGGAGTAGGGTTAACATGGGAGGAAACTATCTGTTCTTTCTGAGGTTTTTCCTACACTTTATTGTTACGAATAGCTTTATTTATGAGTCAGGTTTTGTTTTCAAAGAAAAGGAAATGTATCAAGTGATATTTCTAATATAACTGTTTTCTAGATGTTTATCTTTCATTCTTTGTCTAATTCTTTTTTCTTGTTCCCAATCTAAATACCAGAGGAATATATGCCAGAGTTGGGTTGAGTATATGACATTTTGCACAGTAATGTTTCATCCCTCATGTCCTGTTGTTCTGGAGGGTTGGTAACACTAATCTTTACCCTGCATTTTCATCTTGTTTTCTTATGTTAGGTTTTCTTTGGATCCTGATGGCAATTGAGGTGTGGCAATAACAAACTAAATATGGTACCAAAGCCCTAGAGAAGTGGTGAAATAATTGCTGTTATGAAATTAACATAATTAGTTTAATTCTTCATAATAGTTTTTATTAATTCTTTTTTAGCTGTCAGCTGCTAGTGTGGGTAATTGTCCCACAAAAACACATATGCCAGCTGTTACTTCATCCCCAACCATTAATGAAAATGAAGCCAGTACAAGCAAATCTGGTTTTGAGCCTCATGATTCTTCAGTGGTAGATAATGAGGTATTGTATACTGCACCTTGTTCCTGGGTCTTAAGTCATGTCTTAAGGAAGAAAACTGAGTATCTGTGAAACATGTTTTTAAATGTAGCCTATTATATGCCTTTAAGTTGTGGGAAGAAATTATTTTTTCCAAAAAGTAATTAAGTTGAGATACTTCTGAGTATCTTTAGTCTTGCCCTTTATTAACAAATATTTGGCAGAATTGTCTATAAGGAATAGTTACAGTAAGTAGTATTCATTTCAATTAGAAAAACTTTTCCTTTGGCATTTTATTTATATGTGATTTATGGAAAACATAACAGTTTTCTCTCAGTAGTTGATGAAGTTAATATGTGCGTGTTCAGTCGCTCAGTCATGTCTGAATCTTGCAGCCTCATGACTGCGACCCAGGCTCCTCTGTTCATGGCCTTTCCCAGACATGAATGCTGGAGTGTGTTGCGATTTCCTCCTCCAGGGGATATTCCTGACCCAGAGATGGAACCCTTGTCTTTCATGTCTCCTGACTGTATTCGTTAAGAATTAATGGTTGCCTAATTTTTTCTAATTTATTACTAAAATAGCGTTTTGACCTTCATGGGTGTCTCAGTGTAAAAAGGATAGAGTGAGGATAGAAATTTTTGTTGGTATTAGCAATAGTATTAACCTGTTTTTCTTTAAGGCTGAAACAAATCCAGTACTTACAGTAACTTAACTGTAAGTTTTGAAATAACAGGTATGGTCAGATATGCGAAGACATGAAATGTTAAGGGAGGAGCTACGACAGAGAAGAAAACAGCTGGAAGCTCTGATGGCTGAACATCAGAGGAGGCAAGGTCTGGCTGAAACTGCATCTCCAGTGGCTGTTTCATTGAGAAGTGATGGATCTGAGAACCTTTGTACACCTCAGCAAAGCAGAACAGAAAAGTAAGAGAGGTGTTTAAATCAGTTTAAAAAATACCACATATTTAACACTTGTAGGAAAGGCAGCCTCATTTGCCCTCTGCATCATAGTACAAGTCTGCTATTGCAGTGAGGCTTGGGTATTAAGCATAACCTTTGTGACTCAATCCAGCTACTCACTGTTGTTAACTTCTCATAGCATCACCTTTCTCTCTTTTTAAATTAAAAAAAAAAATTACTAAGATACTTGACCAAACTGATAGAGATTTTCTTGAGGGTTTTGATCTAGAAAACTGTCACTCAAAGTTAAAAAGTTGAGGGAGGTTTACTTTAGGAATGAGTCCTAGGGGATATGATTACGAGTTTGATTTATTTGAAGAATTGTTTTGTGGAAGGCAGAGTAAACATTTTATATTACAGCAGTTGGAGAGTAACAGCCATCACATAGTTAATTATGCCTAAATGAAGTTTTATATATACACCCATGTATGCATATACATGTAGATATATATATATATATATAAAATTTTTTTTGGCAGGGGGTACAGAGTTTGTTTCATAGTAGGAGGTGAAGTAGCTCATCTCCAGAATGATCTGTATTTTGTCTCTTAATCTCCAGAACAATGGCAACTTGGGGAGGTTCTACCCAGTGTGCCCTAGATGAAGAAGGAGATGAAGATGGTTACCTTTCTGAAGGAATTGTTCGGACAGATGAAGAGGAGGAAGAGGAGGAGCAAGATGCCAGTTCCAATGATAACTTTCATATGTATCCTCCAAACAGTGCAAATCGTAACTCTTACAATGTAAAGGAAACTAAAAATAGGTTAGTTTCAGTGTTTTAATTTTTTGCTTGATTTTTAAAGAGTCTCCCGTCTTTATGACACCAAGCAGTTCTTCAGTTATCTGAACCAAGTGCATGTTCCACAATATAATTCAATTCCAACACTAACTACCTGGAGTTGGCCAGACTCCACAGGTTGGAAGGCTCAGTCCCAAGAAGAGTGCCCTCACTTCAGATGCCACTTTAAAGTCTTGAGTCTTCAGAGCACCCACACTTCTGTCTACTTGGCTGCAGATTTGGGGGTTTCCATAGCTCCTTTTGCTTTGCTGACAAAGGTCCGTATAGTCAAAGCTATGGTTTTTCCAGTAGTCATGTATGGATGTGAGAGTTGGACCATAAAGAAGGCTGAGTGCCAAAGAACTGACGCTTTTGAACTGTGGTGCTGGGAAGACTCTTGAGAGTCCCTTGCACAGGAAGGAGATCAAACCAGTCCATCCTAAAGGAAATCAACCCTGAATATTCATTGGAAGGACTGATGCTGAAGCTCCAATACTTTGGCCATCTGATGCTAGGACGTGACTCCTTGGAAAAGACCCTGATGCTGGAAAAGATTGAAGGTGGGAGGAGAAGCGGGTGACAGAGGGTGAGATGGTTGGATGGCTTCACTGACTTAATGGACATGAGTTTGAGCAAACTCAGGGAGATAGTGATGGACAGAGAAGTCTGGTGTGTGCAGTTAGGACATGACTTAGTAACTGAACAACAGCAGCAATAGCCTCTTTCATGTTCCATAATTTGATAAAACAGCTCATAGAGGTCTGGAAAACACTTCCATTTACTGACTTATGAAAGATATTACTCAGAGAAAGAAACGTGTAAAGCATGGGTGGGTTGGGAAGGAGCAAAGAGCTTTTATGCCTTATCTGGGCACATCAGCCTCCTAGGACTTCACTGTGTTCAACCCAGAAGCTGTCTTCACCATGCTGTTTAGGAATTTTTATGGTGATTTCTTTACATAGGCAGAATTGATTGAGTCATTGGCGATTAAGCTCAGTCTCCCTCCCTAAAAGTTTGGGGAATGAGGCTGAAAGTTCCAGCCCAACATCTGGTTAGTTTTTCTGGTGACCAGTCCTCATCATGAAGCTAACTAGGGTTTGCCAAAAGGAGCGCATTGTAAATAACAGAAGGCAGTCATCACTCAGGAGATGGTCAGGAGTTAGGAGCTGTGTGCTGGGACCGTGGGACAAAGACCACGTAGGGTATTTACTTTATCACAAGAGTACTGTTGTCAAGGTCGATTCCAGCTCGATAGGAGGAGTGTTGATTATCTTTGATCTTCACTCATGTTTTGGGGAATTAAGCAAAAATAAAAATCATAAATAGTAAAAAAGATGTGTCAACAAAGATATCTATTGCATTGTTATTTATAACTGAAAAACATTTCATGTATAAAAAGATGGTTAAGTAGTTGCACTTGATGGGGTGTTATGTGGCTAAGCTTTAAAGACATGAAGAGTGGAAAAATGCTTGTGATACAGTATCCATAATAACTTTTCATTTTGAAGAATACAGTATTATATGGACTTTTCTCTGTAAAACATAAGTGAAAAAAGACTGAAAAGGATTGCAAAGTGATACTGTACAAGACTAGAAATCCAGAATTTTTCTCACTCTATTTTACATACATTTTAAGTCCAGTGAACTTAAAAATGGACTTCAGGCATATGGAACAAGCAGGGTATCAAGGCTTTTGGCCAGATTTTAAATTACATAATTTTAAGTTACATAATTTAAATTTAATTTAAATAAATACATAAATAAAATAAATTAAATTTAAATTATATAATTAAAATTACATAATTACATAAAATGACGTGATGCTTTAAATCTTGTGTTAGGTGGAAGAACAGTCGCCCTTTTTCAGCAGATGGAAATTATCGTCCTTTAGCCAAGACAAGACAACAGAATATCAGCATGCAGCGTCAGGAAAACCTTCGCTGGGTGTCCGAACTCTCTTACGTAGAAGAGAAAGAACAATGGCAAGAACAAATTAATCAGCTAAAGAAACAACTTGATTTCAGTGTCAATATTTGTCAGACTTTAATGCAAGACCAGCAGGTAAAGTTTACTCTGCAAGTAAATTTTTTTAATCTTATTTTTGAAGCAGTACATTTTTCTCAAGTCATTGGTAACTGTTATGGAAAATTTTTTCTTTCCACAGACTCTGTCTTGTCTGCTACAAACTCTTCTCACGAGTCCTTACAGTGTTATGCCCAGCAGTGTTGCATCCCCTCAAGTGCACCTTATAATGCACCAGTTGAACCAGTGCTATACCCAGCTAACGTGGCAACAGAATAATGTGCAGAGGTAATTTGTTCCTTAGAAGTAGTGAGGATGTATACTCAGGTGCTAAAACTCAGTTGTAGCACTGGTTTTACAGTGTAAAAGCAAGGGTTTTATGGTTACCTTCTGAGAGAGAAAGGCTGAACCAAATTGCCTTTTTGAATCTTCTCTGATTCCTGAGAATTTTATAAGCAGTGATTTTGCCTAATATTTCCTTTTAATTTTGTGGATCTGACTTAAAAAAATTAACTATGGTTTTCAACTTTACACTTACCTTAGGTGAAAGTATGTGTTGTCATTATGCCTATCTCTGATAGAAGTGCTAAGTGTAGTTCTTGTTCCAAAGGCTAAGTTACTAACTGCAGCACAAGCAAGTATCTGTGGTAGTAAACATCAGAGCAGCCAGTGTGTTCCACATACTGGAGTTTGCTTTGTTTTTAACAAACTGTTATTTAACATTGTGAACTCTTTATTTTATTTGATTTTTTATTTTGGCTGGGTTGGGTCTTCATTGCTGTGTGGGTTTTTTCTCTAGTTGCAGTGAACGTGGGCTACTCTGTAGTTGGCACAGGCTTCTTACTGCAGTGGCTTCTCCTGTTGCGGAGCATGGGCTCTAGGGCACGCAGGCTTCAGTAGCTGCGGTTCTCAGGCTCTCGAGCACAGGCTCAGGAGTTGTGGCACATGGGCTTAGTAACTCTGTGGCATGTGGGATCTTCGCAGACTAGGGATTGAACTCATGTCTCCTGCATTGGTAGGCGGATTCTTTACCCCTGAGCCACCAGAGAACCCTGTGTTCCACATACTGTTGAACCATTTATATATATATACACACACACACACACATATACATATATATATACACACACACTTTCTGGATGTACTTGACATAGATGGTAATATAACTAATCTTTAAATTACTGACTCCTTCAATTTTTATAGGTTGAAACAAATGCTCAGTGAACTCATGCGCCAACAAAATCAGCATCCAGAAAAACCTGCAAGCAAGGAAGGAGGCAGTGGTGCATCACACCCTCCTTCTCCCAGTTTATTTTGTCCTTTCAACTTTCCAGCTCAGCCTGTAAATCTGTTTAACCTACCGGGGTTTACTAATTTTTCATCATTTGCACCAAGTAAGTGGCCAAAAACTTAAAGAAAAATAAGTAAATGCAGAGTCCTTGAGACTTAACATTTGTCTAATACATGGATTTTTATCAGTCACTTTTGGAATAGTAGGAAATGTTTGCAAAGAAAAATATAAATTCTTTTCTACTTTAATTCTTTATAGTGAATGTTTAAACTGAATATGGTTGCTAATGAAATCAAATAAGTTATGAAATGTTTGCTTAGTCTTACACCTTTAAATTATTCCACAACTGTTTATCAAGGAGAAAGAAATTAACCTGTCTACTGACTGCTGTACATCAGACACTCTGTAAGATATTAGGAGAGGAGAGGTGCATGAGACAGCACCCTTCTAGAGGAGTTTCATGTCTTTGTAGGGAGATACACCTCTAGACTAAGGGTGACTATTTGGTTCAGGCTCATATTTACTTTTGTTTAGTTCAGACTTTTATTCAGATTTTCTCCACCTATCATGTGCCATACAGTATATAAATGGCTGGGATTCAAAGATGAGTAAAGCTGATGCTTTAAGGATTTTAAGAGTCTAGTGGAGAAGCTAAAAGTGTCAATATATGCTTGGTGCTTTGTCATGGGTGCTGTAGGAGTGGTGCAGGTGAGATTGAATAGCCTGCTTTTTGTGGGGACAGGATTGTCGGCAAATCTATTTTTTCCTACAGAAAGGGATAGTAAAGCTAAAGAACCAATAGAACTTTTTTCCAGGGAGATTAGAAGGGAAAGGGCTTTCTGATCAATGGAACCACTTAAGAGTTGCAAAGCAGGGGAACAAGTGTATCATGTTGAGAATTTAGAGGTCATAAAGTGTGGCTAAGTGTTTCAGGCCATGGCAGGGGCAGAGTAGTCCATGTGCTGGAACACAGCAGAGGCCCTTGCTCTGGGCAAAGAAGCTTGGACTCTCCGTTGCTCACCAGAGGGGCTGCTGGCGGCCTTTGGGCAGAGGAACGCATGAAATTTGTATTTTAGAGTGATGACACTAGTCATTGTGTTGATTGAGATTGGAGGGACAGAGGTGAGAGTATAGATGGTGAACAAAAGGCTATTGCAGTAATAGCAGGAAGGGGACAATAGCTTGACCTAAGGCGTTGACAGTAGTGGTAAAGAAAAAGGAGTAATTTTAGATGTTCTGGAGAGAGAGTGATCAGTTAGGAGAGTCATGAAGAGAGAGGAGTTGAAGGTGTTTGCCAGAGAATATACAAAAAGAAAAAGGGTTGGGAGGGTTTTGTAAATATAAATGTCCATATTTATATTTATTTTCTTAATGGGATTGTAAAAGTAATGGTGTTAAACAGTTTAACAAGATTTTTAGTTCTTGAGTGTGGGTTAATATGGGCAGTAAACATTTTTTGACTAGGCTGTTTAACAAATAATATAGGCAATTACACATACTGTTTCTTGTTGTCATAATATGCCTTCTACCTATGGCAGCTCTGTTTAGACACTGTTATTCTTCATCAGCTAGTTCAGTTTCCTGAAACCTTGTTTCCCTTCTCCCCCAAGTTGTTAGTGGCCCTTTTGCAAATACCTCTGACGCAGCACTGTATATTAAAGTATGTGATTATATTTTACTTCCCAGTTAGAGTGGAAAGAACCTGAGCTTTGGAGTCATGCAGACCTGAGATCTAACCTTCACTTTCATTTACTAGGCATTTGATCTCTAAGCCTTTTTTCTCACTAGTACAATAAATATAGTACCTATTTCACAGCATTGTGTTGAGCATTGAAAGAAGTAACACATAACGCGCCTACGGTAGAGTCTAATGCACCTGCAGTAGAGTCATGCTTCCTTTGATAAATATCACGTATTATTTTTTCTAACTTTTAAGGAGGTGGGGATCGATATTTATCTAAATCACCAATGCTGAAAACATAGTAGGACTGAGCTGTAAAACAGTTATTAAATAAATGAGTGATGTTGTTTAGTTGCTAAATCGTGTCCAACTCTTTTGCAACCCCATGGATTGTAGCCCACCAGGCTCCTCTGTCCATGGGATTTCCCAGGCAAGAACACTGGAGTTGGCTGCCATGTCCTTCTCTAGGGGATCTTCCTGACCCAGGGATCAAACCTTTATCTACTGCATTGCAGGTGGATTCTTTACCACTGAACCATGCTGTTAGTTTATTTTAGTTAGTTTTTTGTTTTGGTGGATTGGAATGGCGCATTTAATTAAAACTATCTTTCAGTTTTGTTTTAAGGCCAAAGGTGCTTCTGTATCTTACCCATTGTTTTTATTTACTAGGTATGAATTTCAGCCCTTTATTTCCTTCTAATTTTGGAGACTTTTCTCAAAATATTTCTACACCCACTGAACAGCAGCAAACATTAGCCCAGAATCCTTCAGGGAAAACAGAATACATGGCTTTTCCAAAACCTTTTGAAAGTAGTTCTTCTATTGGAGCAGAAAAACAAAGGTACTTTATTGTAAACATAATCCATTATTTGCTTAAGCGTCACTTGGTGATTATATGTATTACATGTCATTTGAAAATGTAATTAGGGAGGATGTTTGTGATTGTTTGGCTTGAGAGTGTTGAGAATGAAGCTTTGACTTCTTACCAGAGATCTCTCAGGCATACACCTGCTGCTAATGCTGGTTCAGGAACAGTTCAGAGTTTTGATCAGAGTGTCCTATGAGATTCAGTTTGAAAGTGTAAGACTGATGGGGAACACATGTAAATCCATGGTTGATTCATGTCAATGTATGGCAAAAACCACTACAATATTGTAAAGTAATTAGCCTCCAACTAATAAAAATAATTGGGGAAGAAAAAAAAAAGAAAGTGTAAGACCTAACCATAGAGTGTCTTTGGCCTTGATTTTGTATCTTTCTTTAACATTATAAACAGTTCACTGTTCATTGGTTTAGAACTGGAAACTAACATTAACTACTGGGGGATGGTTTTTATAAAGTGATGACTTGTTGTTTGATTCATAGCCCCTGATTATAGAGTATGTGCCCAGAGCACATCCAAATGTAGTGTTCAGTACTATTAGATTGTAAAAACAAATTTTGCCAAGAAAGTTTTAGTGATACATGCTATCAGTCATAGTCAGGATTTTCTTTGTTTCTCACACATTTACTGTTTTTCAATATGATATTCTTCCCAGTTATAATTTTGACTCAAATAGTGTGAAAGACTTATTGGCCCAGGTTAATCATTCTCTAAGCATTTTTATGGCTGAGTAAAAAATATTTTTAGTGATTGTTTTAATCCAGAAAATGATTTTGATAGCCAGCTTGTAAAAATATTATAATTTTTTTATTGTTATTTCCTTCAGAAAAACTTTAAAAGGATGAAAAATTAGAGATTCGTTGAGCCTAATACTTGTTCTGTCAGAAGTATCTATATGATTTTGTCTTTCCTGTTCCTTTATAAATAAATGTCACATTACTTTACTTTTGGTTATGTGTTAGGGCATGTCTCAAGTGCTTAGCATTTTGATAGTTTTTATCATAAACTTTTTTTTTAACATAATTAACAACAAATTCTTAGAATTCAACTTCATGTTTGTCTTGAGGAATCCTGTGATAAACAGCCCTGAACTTGTTGATGCCTTTTCTTAGCTGTACTAACCACTTTTTCTTATTAAGTCTCATTTTATTCTGTGAAAGTATCGTATTGTCAGAGCCTGAGACAGTGTTTAGTGCTCAGTTGCCATTCAAAAATGATTCAAGCAATAGACATTTATTCAAAGCTTTAGCCTTCCTGTTGAAAGGTCCCTACTTCAGTATTAACTATATTTTATATGTAATTGGTAGTTAAAAAATAAGGATGAATCTGAATGTTACTGTTTTAAATATTTGACTACTTCAGATTAGACCTCATCTCTTTCTAAAATTTTAGTTGTTATAGGTTCTCTGAATTAAATGGCTGGAGATAACAATGGTCAAATGAAACATTGTGGTCTTGAGCTGGGACCAGAAAACTTTTCCTATCGAGGCCTGGCTAGTAAATATTGCAGACCATAGAGATAGCCATTTGTCTATGCCATTTTTGCACAGAAGCATTCGTAAACATAAACAGTTATGTAAACATATGAATTGCTGTGTTCCAATAACATTTGATCTATGATCAGTGAAATTTGAATTTTATATAATTTTCATGTGTCACAAGCTATTTTCCTCTTTTTTTCCCCCAACCTTTTAAGAATATAAAGATCATTCTTAGCTCTCAGGCCATACAAAAACAGCAAGCTGAATTTGGCATGTAAACTGTAGGTCTGCTAATCTTTATCTTGAGTTACTCCCTGTAGATCAGTATCTCCCAAATTATATTCTTAGGAACAGTTGTCCATGTCAGGTTCTGTAATAAAAAGTTTTGTACATGCTGTTCACTGTGTTCCCTTCTAAGACATTTATAAAAGGACATTGGCATATTAAAAGTTCTGAGAAGTGCCTGTTTTAACTTTGTTTTGCCCAGTTTCCCCCCCACACTTAGATAACCAGTGAATTCCTATTAACATATTAAAGGATGTTTAGTAGATAAAATTTGGAAAGTGACACTAGACTAATAGAGCTAAACAAGGTTTAATGTGCAGAGAAATAAGTTACTAGTTACATGGCCAATTGTCTTCACCAAATTCTGGTTATATTTGGACTGCTGTAGGTGACACAGATCCATGTATGTTTCCAGCTATGGTTCTTTTTCAGTTGTTTCTGTGTTTTGTTTTTTCCTTTTATGTCCCATCCTCCCTTGATTTTTCTTTCCCACTCTTTTCCATCTTGAATGTTGGATCTTTAGTTTGGAACTTTCACTAATGAAAATAGTTTAGTGAGAAAGGTCCAAAATTAAGTTTTAAAGTAATTTAGTAAATTAGTCTGTGTAATATTTTCATATTTACTGTGTATTTGGTGGGAATGTTTTTATAGCCTGTTGACAAATTTTATTTATCTGACTCTACTAGTAGACTATAAATTAAGTATATCTGGAGTTTTCCATAGACATAGAAATGTATTATTGTAATATATAAAAACTTATTTTCATTGGTAAGGAGTCAAAAACAGCCTGAAGAGGAGGTGGAGAACAATAGGACACCATGGTTTTATGACCAAGAAGGTGAAGGAGAAAAGCCACTTCTCAAGACTGGATTTGCAGTGTCTGTAGAGAAAACAACAAATAGTAATTGCAAAAGTCAACTAGATACCAGTAGGAGAAGACGCCAGTTTGATGAAGTGTCCTTAGAAAGCTTTAACAGTATGCCTGACCCAGTAGATCCAACAACAGTAACTAAAACATTCAAGTCAAGAAAATCATCTGCACAGGCCAGCCTGGCATCTAAAGATAAAACTCCCAAATCAAAGAGTAAGAAGAGGCATTCTACTCAACCGAAAAGCAGAGTGAAAAATATTGGTAAGTACTGAAATTTGTTGACTGTTGATAAGCATAACTATTGGTAACCTTACTCTCTGTTGTAAATAATTGCAGTGTGGCTAGATGTGTAGGTGCTGTTTAGACCCACTTGAACAAAGTCAGTTTTTAGTTACCTTTGAACATTTTAAACAAAATGTATCAAGTAGGATTTAATGTTGTAGATATTTTAAAACATGACATTCTTTTTAGTGCCTTCTTAAAACTTCTTAAGTTTTCTATGTATGGTGGTTCCTGTGAGCTTGGAAGCTTTTAATATTCTATAGTTTAATTTTACATGTAACACTTTATTCATGATTTCTGCCTAGATCTGTGGTGGATTCATTTAAAGAAATGTGGCCCTCTAACTACGTTGCAGTCTTTGAATATCATGTAGATGAAATCACTTTTGGGATAGGTTTGCTCTTAATCCTTCAGGAACTGAACCTTAGCTATTACAATAAAGCGTTAACTCGTATTTTATTGAAGCTTGTCGTTGAATATCACATTGAAGTTCTCTTTATAGTGTTCACTGCATGCCACTATTTATGAGTTTTGAAGAATTTACTGAAGTCCACTGCTAGGTTAAAAATACATTTATTAGCCAAAATCTGAAATATTATAGCTAAACGATGCTCCTTCCAGTTTGCAAGGGACACTTTTTGACTGTGGCCTTGAAAGGTTGTTCTGTGTTCAAGGATATAGTATTTGGTGCTTGAGAACAAAATATTCTAGGCTTATAATCAGAAAAGTTTGAAAACTGACTGCACCCACTGACTCCCTCTCTTGGAAGCTACGATACATATAAGTGTAGTAGGAGATCCAACCAGTCCATCTTAAAGGAAATCAGTCCTGCATATTCATTGGAAGGACTGATGCTGAAGCATTCCAATACTTTGGCAACCTGATGTGAAGAGCTGACACATTTGAAAAGACCCTGATGCTGGGAAAGATTGAGGGCAGGAGGAGAAAGGGACAACAGAGGATGAGATCGTTGGATGACATCACCGACTCAACGAACATCGGTTTGGGTGAACTCCGGGAGTTGGTGATAGACAGGGAAGCCTGGCGTGCTGTGGTTCATGGGGTCACAAAGAGTCGGACATGACTGAGCGACTGAACTGAACTGAACTGAAGGGTCCTAGGGCACTCTGCAGTTAAAAATCCACTTGTGAACTTTGGCAGCATTTATCTCAAGCATTTTTGGGTAATGGAACCCTTGAAAAATCTGATGAAGACTATGAACATGAAAAAGAATACATGTACATTTTTTCCCCCATTACAATACTTCATGCATCCTAAAGTCCTGGACTCTTACCTCTACTCCCATTTAGAGAGTATGATTTGATGGTTAAACAAATGGATTTGAACAGGGGCAAAATTTTTCTTAGCTTACACATTATCATCCTTGAAATAATTTTTCAGTTGTGTAGGTTTTGAGAGGAGCTGGTTACTTAGCAGATTAGTTAGTGATCTGAAACCATTCAAATGAATGAAAATACATTTATGCCTTCTCCATGGTCACTCTTGGTGCCACTAGAGAACGTTTGAGTAGATAGTGATCACTTAGCGAGAGAGTGGGTAACTCTGAACATCATATTAAAGTCTAATACCTGCCCCAACAAAATGCTTTTTTGTCTTGAATAAAAGGAAGGAAACTTAACATTTGTTATCCCAGCATTCTGTCTTTCAATTAATTAATTTGTGTGTACTAGGACAGTGCTTCTTAAACGTTAACATTTCATACAGATCTTGGGAATCTTGTTTAGGGTCAAGAGTCTGATTCAGTCAGTCACAGGAGGGACCTGACAGTCTTCATTTCTAACAAGCTCCCCAGGATTGTTGACAGCATTGATGTTGTAGTCTGTGGACTACAGTTTCAGTAACAGGGTCTTAGAGACTCTGAACCAACATTTGGCCATGGCTACCTTAACCTAGAAATCCTGGTGTATTTGTATTTTTGAAATTTGTTTATTTTGAAGAATTATGGTTCCAGATATACAAGTCAACTTTTTTTTTTTACCTTTAGGCAAAGGTGGACATTCTAATCTATTTGCTGTCACATTTAAGTATAAAAAAATTAAGGCTTGCACACAAAGATAAAAGACCTAGTAGGAGAACCAAATTAATATATGCAGAGTCAAAATAATATGTAGCAAAATCAAATGACCTAAATCCTTGCTGTTTAAAATGTGAACCATGGACAGGCATAATTTGTATCATCTGGGGGCTTATATTAGAATTGGAGACTCTTGGGCCCCCCCCACCTTACACCAGCATGGCTTTTTAGTACACGTGTTAGCAAGATTCCAGGTGTTTTAATATGCACATGTGCATATTAGAGACTGAGGTGCTGAGCCAGACCGCTCGTTTATGCTTCTTTTCTCTGTGGTGTAGGAGCAGCCATGACTTCTTAGAAAAGAGCATGTTTACTTTGTCTTAAAGGAAGTTGGGATGGAGGTTGATAGAGGGAAGATTGAAAAGCATTCCAAATTGTACTAACATTAAGAAAAGTAGTATAGAGTCAGGATGAAGCAAGAAGAGAGTTTGAGAGAACTGTGGAAAGAAATAGGATATGGCAAATAGACTAGTACAGTGGGAGTTAAGTTGCTATTTTGCGAGATAAAGCATAGACATATATACTGTCTCGCATGAACTGTTAATCTGTTTTTTTGCACATGTTGACAGTCTTTCAGAGTTAGTATGCTAAATCTTCGTTTAACTTTGTTTCCCATGATGGTAGTGTACCAATGGTGATAATCTTTAGAAGGTCTTTATATTTGAAGATATGTATTATTGCATGCAAAGTAAGATTTTACAAGTTGTGTGCTAATCATTTTTCAAACTTCAGTTCAAATTCAGATTTTATGAGTTTAGCATAATTTCTTGGCATTACTAGATGGGTACTTGAGTTATCAGACATATAACTTGGTTATCAGACCCATAATTTGGCTCTACTCTACCAGGCCTGTTTTCTCTTGATGTTATTAGAGTAGTAGAAGCACATAGTTGAGATGGTCCTTGTTCTTTTGGGAAATTGGTTGGGACTGTTTGTGTAATGACTTTGGGGTTCTACCCAGCCCTGAATCTTTCCATTTCTTCCTTCCCCCGCTCTTTGTGCTTACTAATGAAGACTGAGGTTAAATAAATGTCCAGCATCAGGCAAGACGAGTCCTGACGGATATGGCCCTCTTTAGATCCAGAGAGTTTATTACTCACAAAGTCAGAGAAAGGAAGGGTAGCCAAAAGTGCCCACTCCCTGTGTCCCTTATTCCACCACAAGGGTGACCCCGAGTCGACAGTCACATCACGAGTGGAGGGACAGCCTGTGGCTTGGGGGCCAGTGCTGGGCTGTAGCCAAGCTGCAGCACAGAATGGACATGTGCCCTCCGTGGGGTGAGGCAAACTTGGTCTCATATTTTATCAGAGCCCAGGAGGACGTGAGAAATTCTTTCATGAAACCTTTCAGGGGAGAGAGAGAGGGAGGCTCCTGTGTTCCATGTTACAGGGGGACGGTAAGGCCTTCTCCCAAGATTTAGATTCACTGATGATTCAGTCCTTCTCTGTGTGGATACATGGAAGGTCTCCAGGAGGCCGTGGCTGAGCTCTTTCCCTATAATGGTGATTCAGCTGGCTGTGTCAGCCACTTTTGCTGAGGAAAACAGAATGGAGGTAAGGGAAGGAATGATGAAGTGAGACAGGAAATAACCCCCTTATATGAATAAGGAACATCACAGTTATTGCTATTATATCAGCTGGCCTGGCGAGTGTTACTCTGAAGTATTACTAACTTTAATTAAATCTCCTGCTTTCCTGGAGAATTACTATTAAAGTGCTCCAAAGAGCAACTAATCAACAGTAGTACCCTAATTTTGGAAATCTAGCCCTTGATATTTTAAATCTGAGACTCATGTAAAACCATGGTCCCCCCCCCCCCTTTTTTGGTAGCATCTTAAAAATTATAGCATGTTTCTCTGAACAATTTCAGCTCTTTTGGAGGATGACTGAATTTGTTTTTTAACTGCTCCCTGAAGAGAATTTTGTGTATGCTACATAATACATATTTTAATTTTGATTAGAATTCATTCAGCACTTTTCACATGATTCAGTAACAGCAGTCAGAAACTTAATTTCATTTATATAAATATTCTTATTAGAATGCATGCTTGGTCAGTCATGTCTGACTCTTTGTGACCCTATGGACCATAGCCCACGAGGCTCCTCTTGTCTATGGGATTCTCCAGGCAAGAATACTGGAGTGGGTTGCCATGCCCTCCAGGTGATGTTCCTGACCCAGGGATCAAACCCATGTCTCCTGCATTGGTAGGTGGATTCTTTACCATTGCACCACCAGGGAAGCTTTTCTTACTAGAACAACATACTTCATTTTCTTTGATCTATGTTTGCTGTTAATTAAATGAGCAATAGTACTACCATTCATATCATTTTACTGTTACTTTTGGCAAGCATACCTTTTATTGCTGTTTTGTGTGATAGTCCACAGTAACTAAGAGAGCTCTTTTTCTAATAAGCTTCATGCAAAATGAATTAGGGTGGCTTGAGAATCTGGGAGACCAACAAATAAATCAGGAACCTGTGTATGAGATGATAAAGTCCTAACTTGAATGATGGCTTTAGAGAAAGAAAGGGAAGTTGAATCCAGATAGGATATCATAGAAAAGAAACTGACAGTATCTTGGGAACGTATTTATTACTAATAGTAGCTATTGTGATTTGGAGATAGAAGCAGCAAGGCTTTAGGATCTGCTGGCTCTTGCGGAGAGTGTCTGGAGCAAAAGTCAGAGCTCTGTGGTTCTCCGAGAAAACTTGGTTGGAGGAAATCCATGCAACCCCTTCTTCTGTGAGAAGGGCACCTCGTTCCCTTCCGAGAGTAGCAGTCGTTTCCTACTTTCAAGGTACTCATGGGGAAGGGTGTCATTGGAAAAGGAGGTGGCATCCTGCCTACCCTGAACATGGTAGAGCTTATACCTTTGCAGCTGATGAGACTGAGGAATCGAGAGGCTTCCTTTTATTGTCTTGATGGGAGGCTGACAACTTCCTAGCCAGAACATTGCTTCACTGTAGTCATGAGACTTCCAGGTCCCATCAGTGTGCTGCCATTAAAGCTCCCCAGCAGTTGGGTCCAGCCTTAAGGGTAGACGAGAGTCATGACTGACCCAGTGAATGTAACAGTGCACGTAGAAGGGACCACCAGTCAGAGAGAAGACATAGAAGCTGACCACTGGAACAGGTAAAGTCTAGTAAAAACAGAATCGTTGAAGGAAATACTCACTTGATTGAAATAAGAATACTTAAGCAGATAGAATTATTTTTAAAAAGCAGGTTGAGTTATAAATTCTTTAGAACTAGAAAAAATTATTTTCACATTTAATGTCTAGATTATTTGAAAAAGAGGATGAATGCTATTAAGTTCCAAATTACTGGCCTAGAAAATTAAAGGGAAGAACTGTGTCATTGCACAGAGCAGAAAGTGCTGTGCCGTGTTTAGTTGCTCAGTCGTGTCTGACTCTTTGCGATCTCATGGACTGTAGCCTGTCAGGCTCCTCTGTCCATGGGGTTTATCCAGGTGAGAATACTGAAGTGGGTTGCATGATTTCCTTCCCAACCCAGGGATTGAACCCACGTCTCCTGCATTGCAGGTGGATTCATTACCATTGGGGCCACCAGAGAAGCCAGAAAGTACTAAGAAATAAAAGAAAGAGGGAAATGATTATAGGCATAAAGACAAATCTTGGGAGCTGATAACACAAGGAGTTCTAGAGAAGGAAAACAATAGGTGGGAAGGCAATTATTAAATAATAAAAGAGTATCTTTAATGAAGGAAGACTCAAGACTGCAGATCAAAATAGTTGACCGTTGTCTAGCCAGGAGACACAGAGAGAATGTACACACCCTCAAGAGTTCTCTTCTCTGACAAAGTGCTCATCTTCACCTGTCAAGATGAAAAGAAAATGTTGGCGTGTCCTATCTTTATAGAAACAATGTATGAATGAGATAGAGACCTGTATATAGTGGAAGGTGAAAAGGAGAGGTAACAGTTCAGTAAAGAAAGCAGTAGTTTAATCTCAATTATTAATATAAATTCAGAAGTAAAATATGAGCAAATTTAATCTGCCAGTCTCTCAAAAGAATATTAGAATGTTGAAATGTAATCATGATTTATTATCAGGAAATCTGTCAGCATAGTTTATTGTATCAAATACATTACAGGACAAATCATGTAGTCATAGAGGTAGACTAGATAGAATTTTATGTCATTCCTAATGAAAATGCACCTAAAAAAGGAGGCAGTTATTTAACTATATTAAAAGCTGTTAGCTGATGCCAGTTACAAGCACTGTTGTAGTGAAAATACTCCAGAGATAGAAATTAACTGGGATTCCCTCTCTGCCACCATCATAATTAAGCATTGTTTGTAAAGTATCTTGGCTAGATTAAATGATTGGAATAAATGTTTGAAAAGGTGGGAAGCATATTTTTATTTTTTTCTTAGCTAGCCCAAGGGACACTGGAAAATAGCTTCCTAAGTTAACTAAGTAATTATGAAATAAGGTTATGAAATAAGTATGTAATATTTTTCTTTATCATAATATTAATAATACCCAGTAGAAATGGAAGTGGTGGAGAGTATTTTCTTCATAGTAGTATCCAGAGCTACTGGGACAAAAAATCCTAAAGAATAAATTTAGCAAGAAATGTACTAGATCTATAGAAAAACTTTGAAGAACATGAAATAAGATTGAGCAAATATAAAAACATAATTGTGTTCTTAAGTTAGAATGTATAAAATTAGTTAATGTCAGTTCTCTGCAAATTAATAAATACCTCAAGTGAGATTCCATTTTCAATCTCCATGGATTGTTTTTTAAACGGGGCAAAAGATTTCAAAGCTTATATGGAAGGAGAGATGTCCAAAATTAGCTAAGAAAAGAAGTTAGATAGGACTTGCCTTACCAGATGTTTAAACATACTGTAAAACTTCTGTGGCACTGGAATAAATAAGTTAAACAGATGGAATGTCCAGAAATAAAACCCAACAAATAAGGAGACTTAATGTATCAACCAAGCTTGCATTTTAATTCAGTAGGTATAACCAGCTATTCATGTGGAACAAAATTAAGTTGAATTTCTATGTTGTGCTAGATACCAAAAAGCAAATGTAAAAAAAATTAACAACAAAACTTGGAAATTTTAATAGAAATTTTAATAGAATATATATATAACCTATGGTTGGGGTAGCACTTCCCTCATAGCTCAGTCGGTAAAGAATCTGCCTGCAATGAGAGAGACCCAGGTTTAATCCCTGGGTTGGGAAGATCCTCTCGAGAAGGAAATGGCAACCCACTCCAGTATTCTCACCTGGAGAACCCCATGGACAGAGGAGCCTGGCAAGCTGCAGTCCATGGGATCACAAGCTGCAACGATGGGACCACCATCATGGTTGCGAAAGAATTTTTAGGCCAAGTCATGTTATTTACAAAAGGCATATAAAAGCAGACATTTGATTATTTAATACCCCTTATTCTTCTGTCTATTAGGGACATATATAGACTAGATATTCTTATATTTACTAATATTGTAAAATTGTTAACTTGGAGTCTAGTAGAGAATTTGGGTTATGTGAAGTCTACCATGTAGTTTGAGTTGGGGATGTATATATATCACTGAGGTGAATATCAAAGGACAGTGAAGTGTTAGAATTTATTACTGTTACCCCATGCCTCCAAAGACTATTACAAAGGTATTTCTAAGACATATTCTTTACTGTTTTGATTTCTTTTTTTTTTTTTTTAATTTCTTCTTAAACAAGGCCCTCACAACGTTATAAATTGAGTTACTCGTACTGTTTCACTATGGAAGTTAATTTCCCTTTCAGTTTGAGTTAGTTGCAACTGATAACAGTTGTCAATTTTTTTACTTAAGGGTATGAAAGTGCCAGTATGTCTAGCACATGTGAACCTTGCAAAAGTAGAAACAGACATTCAGCCCAGACTGAAGAACCTGTTCAAGCAAAAGTACTCAGCAGAAAGAATCATGAGCAGCTGGAAAAAGTAATAAGATATAGTAGGTCTACAGAAATATCTTCAGGTATGTTCTGTTTTGGTTTGTTTTAATTTAAGGACTTATTCATCCTAGATTTGAAAAGCTATATTAAAACTAGCTGAAAATTGATCTATCACACTTTCCTATCACGTGTCAGGTTTTATAGTAGAATTTAAGTACACAATTCTTGATACCAAAAATGTAAACTGGAAATATTAATATATTTTATTATTACTGTGATACTGTCTTTTGATGCATTTTGATAAAACTGTGAGTAAGCAAACTAGCTGACATTAATTTGGTTCTCCTAATTTGAAATTCTGATAATATTATCTGAATAAGAATTCCATATAAAATATTAACCATTCCACTGCTTAAGATCTTCGGCCTTCACCATGCCTACAGGAGAATGTCCTGTTGCCTTAATGCAACACATCGGCCAGCAGAGATTTGATTCCTTCCTGCCTGCCTCTCCAGACTCCTTTCTCACACCCTCTGCCTTGAACTTGACTCTCAGTGGCACTGAACTGACATTTTTCATAGCCACCGCAAGAGTTGTCTCACCTCGGCAGTTGCCTTTTTTGCCTCAAGTCCTCTTCTCTGTAAGCCTTTTCTCTGCTGGCTCTTAAATAAAATCTTAATTCTGCAGGTATATCCAAGCCAAGCAGGGATATGTTCCCTTTTCCTCTTTGCTTTTCTGTCAAAGCCTGTGTAAACCTCCTCTGTTGCCTGTGTTACATTATACAGTATTCACCTGTTTAGTGTCTGTTTTGCTTTTTTGAGTCCCTTGGCAATAGATAATCTTTTTTCATAATTGTATCTTAAATGTTAGCGTGGTACCTGACTCATGGTAGGCACTCAGTGTTTATCGTATGTATGGAGTCATGTATTTGCCACCATTTTAGTTTAAGTATGTACTGGTACTTTCCTGATTTATAAAGAATAAGTACATCTCAAAGAAGTATGGAGAAAGAGTCAGTAAATATGGACTCTAAATTTTCAGTTGTCCATAAGACCCTTCGTGAAAATGATAATCGTAACTGCTATTTATATTATGCTTTACTGTTTACAAATTAAATAAATTACTCATCTCATTTGAACTTCATAATCCTATGAATTTATTTTCATTTTGTAAATGAGGAAAATCACAAGGGGTACCTATTTTTTCTCAGTGCTCATAAAAGACCAGTAATATAAACTGGTCTGGTTTAACTGGTTCTTGTGGGGGGGAAAGTCATGCCTTTAACTCAGTAATTGTACTTGTAGGCATGCATCGTAAAGGAAACAAAAGTGAAAGAAGAAACTGGGATTTAGGTGTTGACTAAACATTTTGATTCCAACTATATTAAAAATCTGGATTAAAAAGTGTATGAACATCAGAGTATTAATAATGGTTTTATTATCTTTAAACTCCTCTATATTTTCTAAAACTTATAATGAGTATTTATTTTTCATATTTTGAAATGACTTCTTCACGGTCATATTGCTAGCAAATGGTAGAGCTGAAGCTTCAATCCTAGTCTCCTCTTAAGTCCAGGATCCTTTTGTCAAATACATCAATTCTGTTGTTCTGACCCCAGCATTTTATTGAAATTTTGTAGTTTCCATCTCCTTTCACTATCTTTATCAAATAGTGATGTTGTCAGTAAACAGTTAGGTGAAGGTTGGGGAAGGGCACTAAATTGATAGGCTTAATAAATTGGTTATCATTACCTAAACAGTTGATAGTTGATCATAGTACTTCAGATCTTATTTATTGTCACTTAGAAACATAACCATCAAATTTTGATGAACTAAACAATGTTGGAATAATATAAATATTCCTTTTTTTGCAGAAGACTTAATTTTAGTATTAACCATTACCCTAAAGTTCTTTATAGCATGTAATAGTAGTTTTCGTTACATGATCATTTGATTGTAACATCTAAGGCCACTAGTATTGAACTGTATACAGTTCAGTACAGTCCTCTTGTCCCTTGAGGATTGTGGAAAGTTCCCCTTGATGTGTATGCTTCTGAGAGTGAATGGTGAAAGTTTACTATATGAGGGTCATATCAGTCATATCAACACAAGTTTATAGCAGATCATTTGATATTTTCCCCAAAGAGATTATTTTTAAATAGAGCATAAACCATACCTTGTGATAGCATTTCAGTTCAGGCAAATGATTTTAAAGAAATTTGCTTACTTCTTTTTTTTTCATTCATTTATTCATATTATAGACCCTGTCTTTACTATTCATACACATTTTATGTTCATCCTTATGTCTGCCCTTTCCTACAGCACATGCTAGGAGAATACTACAGCAGTCTAACAGAAATGCATGCAATGAAGCGCCAGGTAACAATCTGCTTAGTTCTGGTGTCCGCTTTCTGTTAAATTTTACCATTGGTCCTAAAAATCCTTAGTTTTATTGTTCTAATTAATTTTTTAGATTTAGTTTGGTGTGTATATGTAATTTGGCTGGTAAAAGTGAAAGAGAATTTATACTCATGAAATTCTGAAGCTTTTCATTTATAATTTTTGGTTGGTAAAATTGCCTGCTCTTCTCCTACGTTCATTTTCTGTTAGTGTGTGTAACATAACCTACACATTCATGTGGGTAATAGAGAACTTTTTTATAATTTAATGTTTTATTTGAAGTCATTTATTTTGTATTCTTTAAATGCTTATGAGCATTAATGTTTTTGGAAACAAAAATATAGTTGTTTTTATTCTTAGCTCTGATTTACAGTGTTAAGTATTGTGTATGATTTCTCTTGTAGTTCTTATTTTTTTCTTACCAGTCCACACATGTAAAAAAATAAACCATTGAACAGAACAACTGACATGCAAAGACCATGATTAATAAAGGCCATGGAAAATTGCAGAATGCTATTTTTATCTTTAAACTATGAATATTCATTAGACATGTATGATTTAGAATTGTAAATATTCTTTAATGCCTCCTCTGCTACACATGAATGAAAAAGAAAAGCCTGTTATGAACCTTTAGGGGAATTTAAAGAAAAACAAACACAAGGATCTATCACAGATGAAGTTAAATATATCAGTGTCACTTCCTAAAGAAAAGAACTCTGAAGAAAGTAGGATAAAAACAAGATGGAGACATAGACATTTGGCTGAGGGCAAAGATTCTTCTAGGTTAAACTAGTGCACCTCAGTCCAGAAAGAGAATGGTAAAAACGTTCCACTTCTCTACTGTAGATATGAAGCATGTGTTTGCTATAATTAATTATTTGGAAATAATTTAGTCTTTAGTGATATATAATTTAGAGTGATCATTTTTTCACATACAGAGGTATGAAAGATGTCATTAAATATGCTTTGTTCTTATATCTTTAAGATAAAAATCATTTTTTAAAACAACTGATAAAACTACAATATAGTGTATGAATTGGGAAAGTTTGTATGATGTCACATCTTATCTGGATTTTTCCTATAAGTAGAAATTTCCTACAGAGATAGTTCCAGTTCCTGCTCATAATAAATATTTTTATAGTAACAGTGCATCATAGTATATCATTTCATTTTATACTCATAAATGTCTGAGGCACAGTAGGGACATTGTATATTTATTATCCTTATTATTTTATGCTTGTGGAAATTGAGGCCTGAGGATGTTAATTTGTTTAGCAAGTTAATGGAAAGTTTTTTCATTAAACCACATTTACTTTGCGTTTTAAAAATTTCTCTCTTGGAAAAAGTGAATTAAATCTTAATGATCTTTCAATATTTATTTGAAAGCACAATGTATTAAAAAACACTTAACATTTCAAATTCCCTGTCTTGAAAATTTAGCAGTACTTTTTGTGAACTTAAAATGAACTTAAACTTAAGTATTTGTCTATTTGTGGTTCTACTATTACTCTAGAAAGTTTATAGAGTTTGATAGCTAGAAGAACACTTGGAAATTTTTTTTCGTAGAGAACTCAAAACAGTTGGGAACTGTCCCAAAAAAATTGGGAACAGTTCCTAATTTATGTTTTTAAAAGTAATGGTATGACTGTGTATCTTTAAAGGTGATAACTCTTTGTTATAAATAAATACATGCAACAGTAATGTTGCTAAATAGAATGATACCTAGATTCTCTGAAATTGAAAAGTTCATTTGGGTCACTGCTTGCTTCAGCTTACACTGAGTGTGTCAGTAAGACATTGTAGTAAAATTGTACCTATTTTGTTACATTTACAAATTCAGTTTTTCCTCAGTACAGCAGGATAGTGGAGATTTGAGAATCAGTAGACCTAACTAGTTAAACCTTACAGTAGTAGGTCTCCTTGGCAGCATTTAGTTTGTTCTCAACATTAGCAAAATAAATTTTCTTTTCTGTAAAAAAGTTCTTAGTAGCAAAAAAAGAAAATAATTTGCTATTCACTTATTTTATTCAACTGCTGAAAGATTTCCACTGATTATTCCTGTGAAACATGTAAAGTTTTCCAGATATTTTTCACTGAGAAATAACTTTGGTCTAAGTAATGCTAGATAATGTTATTTCTCTAGAAAGTAGTATGTATCTTGAGATTTTTAGAATTATTTTTATCCTGGTAATTATTAAGATTCTCTTTTTACTTTAAAAGCTCTGAGATAGAATTGTGTTCTGATTTTTAAGTAATTTAAAGTTAAGAGTAATGATGCAAGTTAATATAAATAGTCAGGAATGTATTTCACCAATATTAACTTTCTGATCTTTAATATCTTCCAGAAACCGGGAGTGATTTTTCCATGTTCGAAGCTTTGCGGGATACCATTTATTCTGAAGTAGCTACGTTGATTTCTCAAAATGAATCTCGTCCACATTTTCTTATTGAACTCTTCCATGAGCTTCAGCTACTTAATACAGACTATTTGAGACAGAGGGCTTTATATGCATTGCAGGTATCTTGTACCTAACATTCTGTTGCCTCTGCTTTCTGGTATTGCCAGTTTTCCCAATTCTATCTGTTTACTTTCTTAGATTGAAGTATGTCCTTGTTCCATAAGTATTTCAGTCTGTTTCTTTATGTATTTCCATGCTATTTTAATAATCTTCTTATATAGCTTAAGTGGCTTTAGATAAAAGTTTTTCTGACAGTTTTTCATTGTATTGTCCTGTTATATCTTCCTCATAGTTAATTTTTGAGGTTGGGAGGATTTCCTTTGTTCTACTCTCTGCTTCTACTTTTAATTTTGTGATTAAACACAGATGGTTTTCATAAATAGCTGTCTTCTCTCCTTATATTAGGACATAGTATCCAGGCATATTTCTGAGAACCATGAAGAAGGAGGAGAAAATATGAAGTCTGTGAATTCTGGTACTTGGATAGCATCCAACTCAGAACTTACTCCCAGTGAAAGCCTTGCTACTACTGATGATGTAAGCTAATGATTAATGAAATGTAGACCTAATTTCAGTATGCAGCTAACAAGTTAAGTAGTTTGTTAATAAATTGTGATTATACCCTATATTTAGTTTTTAGCTTTTTTCGAAAGCTAAGTGTAATGTATTGCTTAATTTTGAGGTGAGGTATAAAATTCAGTCAAGATAGGATAGCAAACACCGAAAGTTATATAGAAATGATAGCTTGTAAGGTCTAAAATAACCATATTTATATCTCCTTTGTCTAACATAGGAGTTGAGTCATAATAGCTCAGTTGGTAAAGAATCTGCCTGCAATGTAGGAGACCCTGGTTTGATTCCTGAGTCAGGAAGATTTGCTGGAGAAGGGATAGGCTACCCACTCCAGTATTCTTGGGCTTCCCTTGTGGCTCAACTGGTAAAGAATCCACCTGAAATGTGAGAGACCTGGGTTCAATCCCTGGGTTGGGAAGATCCCCTGGAGAAGGGAAAGGCTGCCCACTTCAGTATTCTGGCCTAGAGAATTTCATGCACTATAGTCCATGGGATCGCAAAAAGAGTCAGACACGACTAAGCAACTTTCACTCAATCACACATTTAGTAAAAATTTTTGTGTTCATTCCAGACATTTTAGTAAATCATACAGCAATTAGATCACAGAACCCTTGAGTAAATACAAGATAAATTGTGTTTTGGGGTTAGAAGAGAAGGTAGACAAAGAAAGCCTAGAAGAAAATGTAATTTAATGTATTAAAACTGTTGAAGAAAATTTTGAGTAAAGTAAAAAGGGCCTGGAAATGGAATAGTGATGAGGGAAGTATATATTTTCAATAAACTATGTCCTTCAAATAGCACCTACTTTGCACATAGTGGATTGAATGTATGCCAACTGCTAGGAGACTGAGGAGGTGATGAGCTCAGTATTTGGAAATCATCTGCTTAAAGGTTCAGACCCTGATTCTATTTTAAAAGATTATATGTGTGTGGTCCTGGGATAGCAAGTATGTTCTTTTTTATACCACCTTTAGCACCTGTATATTCATGGATCAGAATATCATAATTGATTAGCAAATATCTGCTATGATTATGGAGTTGGAAGCATATTATTATTTCTTTTCATGGTTAATATGATAACATAAGCTTTTTTTCTGAAAAGGTAGTGTTTTTTCCAGAGATCATCTTCTTTTCTTCATGTATAGTAATTTCCTTACAATTATTGAGGACTTCCAAATTTTTGTTCTATTTTTGCTCTTGTGTTTAAAATGGTACTTCCACAAGTCATCTTTTCTGCTTAAAAATTTTCTTCACTAGTCTCCAGCCCTTAAACTACTATGAACATAAACCTGTGTACAAAAAGTACATGATTTTGATTGACTTTATTACCAAATATAAGTTACTGTAACAGATTGGTACTTGGGATTAATTGTTATTATAACCAGTTGAAAATTGTGGGCTCTTTTTTGGTGGGAAATGAAGTGTTCCATAAAACATAGGAGGTACTAGCTTATATTAAATTTATTAACCTTGAAATGACTGAGAGAGCATGAAGAATGTCTTTTTTTAAAAATCTTTTTTTAGTAATTTTATATCCTTAACTCTAGTGCCTTTCTTTTTATCCAAATTTCATGTAGGCAGCATTACTTTCAATTATTTTAAAGGATTTGAGCCCATTGTTTTGTACCATCAACAGTAAATTTGGAAAATTGAGCTACAACTTATGATATAATTAACCTGACAAGCTTTTAAAGTTAAATAAGATTTAAAGATGCAGTAATACTTTGTAAGTAGGTGTCTTAGCTTAGGCTGGTTCACTAAAATACTGTAGACTGGATGGTTTAAACGACAGAGATTTATTTCTCATGATTCTGGAGGCTAGGAAGTCCTAAGACTTGTACCAACAGACTCGGTTCTTGGTGAGGACCCTCTTCCTGGCTTGCAGATGGCCACCTTCTCCCTGTATCCTTGTGCAGTGAGAGAAAGCTCTGATGTCTCTTCCTTGTCTTTAAAGGGTCATCAAGGGGACTCTACCCTCGTAACTTCATTTAAATCTGATTACCTCTCAGACGCCCTACCTCCTAATATCTCCACATTGGGAGTTAAACTTCAGTATATAAATTTTGTGGGGGACACAAAAATTCATTCCATTACCATAGAGACTTGGCACAAATAACTGTACTTAGAATTACTTTTAAATAACTAAATCAGTTCTTTAATTTTCCATCTAAAACTTAAATTCTTCATTTATGTCATCATCTTCCCTATATTAATGTCATTTAGTCAGCAACAGTGCTAGCACAATGTCCAGTGTTCGTATCCACAGATCCAGAACAGTGCTAGCCACTAGAACGTTCTCCAGTGACGGAAATGTCTTACAATCTGCATTGTCTAGTATAGTATCTATTAGCACACGTGGCTTTCGAGCACTAATGTGGCTAATGGGATTGAGGAACTAAATTTTAAATGTTGTTTAACTAGCTGCATGGCTAGTGGTTACCATATTGGGTGGTTATAGAGTCTCATTCTCCATGTTACTAAGCCAGGGTCCTTGGAGTTCCATTTATGGAGGTTTTCACATACCTTTTAGGGCATGTAAACATTTCCATGCCATGAAAGAGAGAACTGAAGTGATCATCTGGAGATTATAAGTTAAGGAGGACGAGGAATTGAGGTTTAGGAAGAGGAAGAAACAGTTTCCATCATCTACTCCAGGTGCTGTAAAATGGCAAAGGCACATCGACCTTTGGGTCTTGCTTGAAGGTGTAATAGAATGTTTCCATTTCTTAAAACATGTTCCCTCATGCCAGAATTTCCTTTATCATCAGGGACAGACCTTTCATTTCATAATTAAAAAGAGAAACTTTAAAAGATCAGTAACTAGGAAAGAAGATAGTTGTGAAATGAGTTGCAGTCAAAATATAATTGAGACTCCCTCCTACTCACACTGTACACAAAAATAAATTTGAAACTACTTTATAGTACTAGAAGGAACTTCTCTGGTGGCTCAGTGGTAAAGAATCCACCTTCCAATGCCAGAGACACAGGTTCTATTGCTGGGTCAGGAAGATTCCCTGGAGGAGGAAATGGCAACCCACTCCAGTATTCTTGCTTGGGAAATTCCATGGACAGAGGAGCCTGACAGACTACAGTCCATGGGGTCTCAAAAGAGTCAGACACAACTTAGTCACTAAACAACAATAACAGCACTGGAAAAGTTAAAACTATAAAACTTACAAAAGAAAAGAAAACTATGATTTTGACATGAGAGATTTTGTAGGACACAGCACGAAATGTGAAAGGAAAAAAATTAATACATTGGACTTCATCAAAATAAAATCCTTCTGCTTTTCAAAAGATACCATTAGGAGAAAACAGCCTTAGTACATATATCTGGCAAATGACTATATAAAAAGCCTGACTATATAAAGGACTTCTAAGACTTAATTGTAAGAAATCGACTCAAGGGACTCCCTGGCAGTCCAGTGGTTAAGGCTTCGTGCTTCCAGTACAGGAGGCCTGGGTTCAGTCCCTGGTTTGATTGGAACAAGGATTCCATATGCCATGGGGTGCATCCAGAAAAAAAAAATCACCTCATAAAAATGGGCAAGAGATTTGAACATGTGCTTCACAAAAGAAGATATATAAATGGCCAGTGTGCAAATTAAAACCACATAAGATTCTACCTCACATCTGCTAGAAAAGCTGAAATCTAAAAGATGGACAATAAGAAGTGTTGATGTGAACTTGAGAAACGGTTGGAACTTTCATACTGCTTGTAGGATTGTAAAAATTGTAACAACCACTTTGGAAGGCAGTTGGGCAGTTCTTGTAAAGTTAAACATAAACTTGGCATGTGACCCAGCAATTTCTCTTCTAGGTGTTCATCCAAGAGAAATGAAAACATGTCCACAAATACTTGTACACTAATGTTAATAGCATCTTTAGTCATGATAGCCTCAAACTGGAAACATCAACAGATAAATGGATAAACAAACAGTGGTATATCCATACAATGGAATACTATTTCAGCCATTAAAAAAATAATGAACTTCTGAAACACAGCAACATGGATTAATTTCAGAAACATACTGACTGAAAGAAGCAAGACACCGAAGAGTATATACTGAGTGATTCCACTTATATAAGGTTCTAGAAACAGCAAAACTAATCTCTGGTGATAGAAATCATGTGAGTGGGGAGTAGAGGACACAAAGGAACTCTCTGGGCTGATGGAAATGGTCTTATCTTTAGGAAAGATGGTTGCCTCAGTGCATATATTTTTCAAAACTCATCAGACTGTACACTTAATGGGTGCATTGTTGTATGTAAATTATATTTCAATAAAAATTTTAAAAAATATAAATGATGCTGTCAGTGTTTTTCTTCTGATATGAGACAACCAAATATCATAGTAAAATATTAGATATTGTTAGAGTTTGAAGATAGAATTTCCCCAAGGGTGTAGAAATAATGTTACCTTTTCCAAGTTAGAATTTCATTAGTAGCTATGGTACTATGTATTTTCATCTCCATAATGACGAAGTGTTCTGCAAAGTTACTTAATATTTTGATATTCTCTGTGACTCTGTATTCAGCCATATAACTTTAATTATATCACAATTTTAAGTGTTTTATGCAAATAGTTTCTATGTTAAATTTTTAATATTAATCAATTTTTAAAGCAATACTAGTGACTTTTATTTGTTTTTTTAAACTACAACTTAGGAAACTTTTGAGAAGAACTTTGAGAGAGAAACACATAAAATAAGTGAGCAAAATGATGCTGATAATGCTAGTATATCTTCAACTTGTGAACCTTTTGCAACAGATGTTCTGGGTAAGCAGATTTTTTTGTAATCTTAGAACATGGCTTTAATAAAGTCTTTGAATTGCATTGATAAGGAAACAAAAGTTTAGTAAGGGAAGGTGTGGTAGAAAGAATGTGAACTTAAAACACTATCCATCCGTCAGTCTAAATTCAGCCATCTCTTGACTGTTAACTCTTTGACTTTGGGCCAGTCATCTCACCTTTCTGACTTTCTGCATATACTTAGGAAATGGGGTCTTATTTACCATGCTCTGTTCTTGTGAAAAATATGCAGTTTTCTAGCATGCATAGTAGAAGTTCAGAGAAGGTTCATTTACCTTAAAGAAAAAGTCATCCCTTGTCAGTTCTGTGAGAAGAGACTCTGAGTGCTCAGTTGCCAGAACAACCACATGCCACATATATTAGGCAATTAATGCTTAATAAGTGAATGAAATCATTTTTTTACTAAATGTTGAGTTTCAAAATAAAATTCATCTAATTAAAAAAAAAAAGAAAAGGTCATCTTCTAAGATCTTCTAGTTAATCAGTAAGAAAAATTTAGAGGTAGCATTGCCTCATCCAGTCACATCTTTAATAAAAATGTGAACTTTGTAATTTGCAGTAAAAACTGAAATTTCTTAGCATATATAATCATCGTTAGAAACCCAGGCAACTCCAAGGCATGGCACATTGCATTGTTTCCATCAGTAGTAAAACAGAAGCTTAGAGGGTCTCATGGATCAGAGAGTAAAAAGCCCCTAGTCCTAAATTTATAAAGAAAACTAGAGAAAAGAAAGGTGTCTCTGTACCTGATTCATTTTCCAGGCTGTAGCATATCAAAATGTCCACAAGTGTTTAATTTTTCAGATTTCCAGGACACTTAGTTGATAGAATGATGTCCTGTAATTCTAGTTTTTGTTTATATGATGAGAGCAAGATTTAGATGATTTTAAAAGAGTCTTTTCCACAACAAAAGAAAAGGGTCAAGCCTTGCTGTATTGTTAGGTGCCTATCTTTTAGTAAGTAGTAAGTTTTCCTTTTGCCTTACTAAGTATTAATACAAGGACTCTCAACCCTAGCTCTCTCTAGGAGCTCCATCTATTAAGTATTAGTACCTATCAAGACTGTACTGAGCTCATGTCATTATAGAGGAAAGGCACTCTGTAGCCAACCTTCTCCCTCAATTGTACCTACTTTCTGAGTTCTCAAGCGATTTTAAATTGTACCTGTTTATTTTCATTAGCTGATTGTTTATTCACAGTCCTTCAACATTAGCTTTGTCTGAAGTGAGCAAAAAAGAATTGGGAAATCTCATTCTTAGGTCTTGTCTTTACCTTAATTGCTTGTATTAGGTTGGATTATTTACATCAGAATTTGCATGATATTTTGAAATTATTTTTTGTTGTACTGTTTATGTGGAATAACATATGGACTTGAGAGTCTAAGAGACCTGGGTTCCAATTCTTGATTCTGTATTTAACTGGCTGTGAAGCCTTGGGCAGTTGCTTAAGTTCTGTGAAAATGAGGGTACTATCATCTACTATATAGGGTTATTTTAAGGGTTAAATGCATCTGGTAATACATGCCAAGTACCCAAATAGTACAGTATCTGAAACTTGTTAAGTTAGTTTTTCTTCCCTATATTCAGACATTATATTTTTATTAGTAAATTTTATAGGATACATGAAAAAAGTTTACTTTTATGTCTTCTAGAAATATTTCTGTTCTGTACACAGGTGACACTGTGATCCACTTAGATCAGGCATTAGCCAGGATGAGAGACTATACGAATATGAAGATGGAGGCTGAAAGTAGTGCAGATGTTCGGTGTACCTGCAGGATCATTGAGGATGACGATGGTGCTGCTGCCACAACCACAGTTAACAATAATTTAGAAGGTGTGTTCTTGAATTGACTAAAAATCCATATATAAAGACCTATGAACCTCACCTGATGTATAACAGGAATTTTTTGACCACTTTTCTTTTAATTATCAGTGGTACTACAACTCCATGGATGTTCTTTCGTGTTACTTTAGTATAAAATCATCAGAATTCAATATTATTTAGAATTTTGCATAAATGTATACATTTCACATCATAGATTTCATTTGCTACTGTAGCATTTTCTTTTTTAAAATAGAAACTCCTGTTATTGAAAATCATAGTTCACAGCAACCTGTGAGTGAAGTTTCTACCGTCCCGTGTCCTAGAATTGATACTCAGCAGCTGGACCGGCAAATTAAAGCAATTATGAAAGAAGTCATTCCTTTTTTGAAGGTAAGTAATAATTTTTAAAAATAAATAAATGTTCTGTTTTATATTTTAAAATTCATGCCAAAGACTCCTTCATAGTAAATTAAGAAACTACATAAAAGAAAAATCTAAAATCACTCATAATTTTGTTACCCAGAGATAGCACCTGTCAATATTTTGTCAACCTTTCTGTAATATTTTGCCCACATATATGTGCATTCTGCTTTTTTCAAATATTAATGATACCGTAAACATATTTCTAGATCACTATTTTTCTATTGCATATTTTTTAATGGTTATACACGTTGATTCATTATTCATTCAAAAATTTTTGTGGAATACCTACTTTATGCCAGGTGTTGAGACATAATAATGAACAAGTCAAGGCCTTTGCTCTCATTAAGTTTACATGCTAGGATGAGAATTTGAATTTTAAAAAATAAGTAAATATAAAACATATAAGTAGATGTATGTCAGGTAGTCCATGCAGAGAAGTAAAATAAGGTGATGTGATGGTGTGTTTTTGACTGGATGATCAGGTGAGTCTTGAAGAGGGAACATTTACGCAGAGGTGTGAATAAGAAGCTAGCTTAAGCCAAGATCATTCCAGACAGAGAAAGGCCTTGAGGTAGAAGCTTGCTTGCCATGTTGAAGAAACTGGAAGAACGACTGTATGGCTGTAAGAAATTTGTGTGAGATGATGTTGGAATAGGAGGAAGGGCCAATTACGCAGACTGTCATAGGCATGGGTCAAAGCTTGAATTTTTTTGGAAGTTCGAATGGGAGCTCTTAGGAGATTTTAAGTAAGAGAAACAAAATCTGATGTTTCTGGAGAATTGAGTATAGGGGTCAGAATAACAGTGAGGCAGGTGAGAAATAATCATGACTTAGACAAGGGTGTGGTACTAAAGATGGGGCACAGTAGGCAATTGGGATATATTTTGAAAATCAGCAGATCCTGCTAATAGTAGATGAGGTCACCTAAAGCATAGCACTAGATAAGAGAAGGGAGCCTAGAACTAGGGCCCAGGATCAGGTGATCAAATATACAGAAGTTGTGCAAAAACAGACGAGCCAGAGTTGCCTAAGTAGGACTGCCAGTAGTAAGTTATATGACTGCTACTGTGGGGGTTGAGTATTCATAGAACAGATTTCCTGTTAATTATTTTATTAGTTCCTGTTGTTAAATGTTTGTGTTTATTCTCTTCTGGTTTCTTTTTCACTATTATGAAAAATGCTTAAATGATTTAGCTAAATTTAAATATGCATCCCATTTTTATTTCCTTTGAAATAATTCTTAGATATAGAATTGGTAGCTTTAAGGGTATAAATATTTTTAAGGTTTTTGAGACATTATGCTACATTATCCCTCAAAAAGGTTAACAATTTATATTCCTAGCAACAGTGAGACTATGAGACAAGTAAAGCCAGTAACATTTTTTGTTTAATAACAAGGAAGAGGGGAGAGAAGGAAACATGAAAAGCCAGGACTGTTTTCTGAGATGGGACTCTTTTTTCTCATTTAAAATGGAAATTAAAAAAAAAAAGAGGTGAAAAGACAATCTTTTCATTCAGAGTTGGGAAACTACAAGATATGTTGTCATCAGATTCATTTCTTACAACCTGCTTGTACTTGCCAATGTGTTAGATGCTGACAGCAAAAATTTTTGTTTCCGTACACTTATATTTCTTCCCTCGGTGGAAATAATTGCTTTCTTTGGAATATTTTGAGAGAAGAGAGACAAAGCAATTCTAAGAACTGTTTTCTCCGAAGAGACTTGATAGCCAAGAGAGAAAAGAGGATCCATCTGTATAACGCCCAAATTATTGCATGTAGAAACTGAAAACCTTAGTCTCTTCCTGAGCACCCGCAGCAGCTCCAGATGGTTCTGTCTCTGCTTCCTTTTCTAATCTTTCAACTCTCCTGCTAGCATTACTAGTGCTTCGAAGGCTTTGACACTTGCTAATGCTTCTGTCTAGAATGCTATTTCTTCACATGCCTGCATGGCTTTTTCCTTTGAACCCTGAAGGCTTTAGTCAAATGTTATTTTTTTGGTGAACAGATCTCCCCTTTCCTTACCTGCTTTTCTTTATCTTCATAGTGCTTGTCACCTTATAACCTATTTAATATTTGCTTATTGATTTTGTCTGTTTCCCTTGTTACATGTAAATTCCGTGAAGTCATGAAGATTTACATCAGAGATGTTAATCTGTTTCGGTCACTGTCTTACCAGTGCCAGGAATAATACATGCACGTAGTAGGTACTCAGTAAATAGTTACTGAATGTTAGTAAGTGAATTGATCTACCAAACCTTGACTGTGGTTTTTAAACTAGTCAAGTATATAGCTTGAAACTGTTGGCCTACAGGATCCAGGTCAGATTGAGCATTGCTCATAAAACTTCTGCAGCCTGATCCCAGCCTCTTAACTGTCCCTTCCACATGCACTGTATCCTGCTTGACATTGTGCAGAAGTGCACATTGCGCGTGTTACTTCCATTGCGCGTGTTACTTCCTTTACCCAGATGCCCTGTATCCTTCTTCTGTTGGTCTTATCCTTCAGGATTCAGCTGAAATAGTTGTGTATGTATTTGCTGGCAGAATTTCTCCTTCTTTTCCCTGTTTTTGGGAAACTTGGTACCTGTCTTTATTAGAGCACTTGTGACAAAGTATCACAATTTTCTGCCCTGTACCCTGCCAGTAGAACAAGATCTGTCTCAATTTCTTAGTACTTAATACTCAAGAAGGGCTTCAGAGACTAGATAAAGAGAATTTGAGGAGATTAAACAAATACATCAATTTCACCAATTATTTTTGTGCCTTTATTAAAATATGTTTTCACCTGCTCAAATATTTATATTCCTATAAATTATATGTACTGTTTTACTCTATTTAGGTTATTGCTTACTTCCATCTTAGCCATAAACAGTATTGCCTTTTTTCTTTTCCATTTTTGTGTTCATGTAATGCAGTAAATACTTTTAAATGTGTCTTTTTTGTTAAAGTAGGTATATTGGTAGTGATATTTATTTGATATGTATAATTATTTTCTAAATGTTAAATATAAATAACTTACCTTCATGTGTAGGGAATGAAACCATCTCAGAGATTTTTGTTGCATTTGCAGTTTTGTGTCTGATTCTATTCTTCATGAGGCTTCCCTTGCTAAATTTATTACTTAAGACAATTTCTGAGGCCAACAAAATGAGAACTAATGATCTGATTTCAACTATTTTATTATGTCTCATTTCACTTCAAATCTTGATTTTTTGGGGTAGACTTCAGAGGGCTGCTCAACATCTTCCAACCCACAGGATGTCAGCAGTGCCAAGACTGAGGAAAGTTTGCAGATAACACAGGAAATTTGGTGGAAGGTGAAGTACAGTTGTGCGAGTAGTTGAACTGAACTGCAAATAGGCAGGCATACAGGTGATACGGAAACTATGGCAGGAATAGTTCCTTAAAGTACAGACAGGAAGTAGTGGAAAATGTTGAATCAGCCAGTTTCTTTTATTGGCTAGTATCTGGTACAGTGAATCAAAATTTGCAAACCTTTTAATGTGTATGTACTGGGGAGTTGGCTGTTCTTATGAACAGAGTCTCCAAATGTGCATCTAAAAGCTGAGGAGCTTATGCAAGAACAATACAATCTCATATATCATGTGGATTGACACTTTTTACACAATAGATAAGTTACATCTTAACCAACTAGAATTTTTCTCAGGAGCACATGGATGAAGTATGTTCTTCTCAACTTCTGACCTCAGTAAGACGCATGGTTTTGGTCCTTACTCAGCAAAACAATGAGAGCAAAGAGTTTGTAAAATTCTTTCATAAGCAGCTTGGAAGTATATTACAGGTAAGAGTTTGTACTTGTATGACTTACCAGTATGTACCATGTGGTTAGGACTTTTTTCCCCCTATTTTCTGGCATTACACAATTTATTCAAGTAGATGTTCATTCTAGCATCCATTTGGGATGACGCTGTAATACTTTTTAGGTTATTCCTTACTTAATTTAAAAATATTATATTAGTCCCTGTGTCTTCATTTAACTTTACCATCTCTAAGGCTTGTCCCAACTCTCACAAAGTTTTGTTTTGATTTTTCCCCTACCTAAGAACAACATTTCAAGTTTGAAATGTTTAGAAAGTATTCCTTGGTATTTTCTAAAATAATTTTTTTTTCTTTTTTTTTTACCAATCTGGGAAATTGTGGAAGCTGGAAACTATTGATAGTAGAGACTTCTTGGGCTGTTACAGTAACTAAATTATATAATGGTAGTGGTTTGTGACTGGGGGCAGGACTAGCAAGAGTCCTACTTAGTAATATTCTTAGAATATTAGCCTATTGTTTTTTAGCCTATCTTAGACATTAGTTTTAAGTTTTTCAGTACTAAAAGGTAATAAAATTGTTTTTCCCTTCATGAGTATTATAATTCAAATTTGCTAATCATCTATATTTCTCTACCCATGGTAAAAGTTTGCTATAATCTTAAAGTGATTTGGTTTATCTTTGAATAGGATTCACTGGCAAAATTTGCTGGCAGAAAACTGAAGGATTGTGGAGAAGATCTTCTTGTAGAGATATCTGAAGTGTTATTTAATGAATTGGCTTTCTTTAAGCTCATGCAAGATTTGGATAATAATAGTGTAACTGTTAAACAGAGATGCAAAAGGAAAATAGAAGCCACTGGAGTGATACAGTCTTATGCAAAAGAGGTAAATGACATTCATTTTGATATAGAAATAGTTGTGATTAGTGTATAAATGTCTGTTTTGATCTTTATGAGTAAATGAAATCATACTTGACCTCACCAAAGTAGTTTTTTTTTTTTTCGTAATATGAGTTAATCAGATTATAAGTCAATACATACACCAGCCACTTAACTGAATCTCAGGAGTAGCAGCAGTGGCTCAACATCAGGGATGCAGACAGGAACAGGTGGCAGGGGATTGGAAAGTATCTACTTCACATTATGGCTGCTTACCCAGAAAAGAGAGGAGGACTGGGATCTGGCTTTTGGCCAGCTGCCTGCCGTGGCTGTTGTCAGTCACAGTAGATGCCCTAGGAGCATTAGCACCCCAGCCAGCACACATGCTTGTTATTAGTTAGGACCTTGGTTGCACATCCCTGTAGCTCCTTATGCCCTGTTGAATTAGTCTTGATCACATACGAAATTGGATGCTTTTTCCCCTCAACTGAGGCATATCAGGAGGCTTTTCCTCTAGACACCAGCACTCTTTTCTTGACTCTCTAATCATGAGAGGAAAAACAGGTCAAGACCCAAAATAGAAAGACATAACCCTTCTTGCCGAAATCTAAAGTAGATAAAATCAGGCCATCTTTTTCAAGCTTTTCGTAATGTTTTTCTTCTAGACATAAGTTTCAGATCATTTCAGCCATTACTTAGAGCTTGAAGAAAATAGAACAGGATGATATGGTAAAAATGATAGGACTGCTTTAGATGGCAGAATCAAGAGGTCCCTTCAGGGGATGAAATGTGAGCTAAGCTATGGAAAGACAAGAGGAGTTTATAATGAAGATGAGAGGAGAGAACTGTTAAGTGTGACAGTGCCAGACAGAGAGAACCATTAAGTATAAAGGCTTTAAAGCAGGATTGAGTGTTTTGGGGAACAGAGAGAAACTAGGGAGGCAGGAACACTTAAAATGAGGTGAGCCTGTAGGAGATGAAGTCACGGTAAATAGGACAAATCTGTGAAATCTTAAAAACTGTTGTAGGGACCTTATATTTTATTTTATTCTAAGCATAATGCAAACTCATAGGAAAGTTTGAGAGAGAGGAGTATCATAATCTCAGTTTAAGATTTGTCAGGCTTCGTTATTGAGTAGGAATTGTAGGTGAGTAGAGAGAAGCAGAGAGACTGCTTGGTAGATTGTTGCAGTTGTCCACGTAAGAACTGTCTCAGCTCTGAGTGTGTAAGAAATGGGTAAGAAGTGTCTCAGCTCTGAGTGTGTAACAGCAGATACATTAGGATGATTGAGTCAAATGCAGTCTAGTAGTTCAGATGTGGGTAATAAACATAAGGTACAGGCTGATTCTGACTTGTGCATTTGGGTGAATGAAGGGCAATTTACTGAGATTGGGAAGACTGAAGAGGGACGGGGGTTTTAGAAGGAAAGAAATCAAGATTTTTGTTTCGGATTTAGTAAGTTTGTGATGTCCCTTAGATATCCAAGGAGATGTCAGGTAGACTGTGTTGCTTTTTGTTTTTCTTCATTTAAAAGATTTATTTAATAAGAGTTGAATTTATATTTCTAAGAAAACATTAATCTCTTTGGATGGTGGTTTAAAAATGCAGGATTTGTTAAAGTTTACTGAGTACTTAAGTGTGATAATGAATGATCACCCCTGAATTCTGCCTAACCGATTTGCTTATAGGCCAAAAGGATTCTTGAAGGAGATCACAGTTCACCTGCTGGAGAAATTGATGATGAAGACAAAGTATGTGCTAATTTACTGGCTTTTGAAACAAAAGATTAAATAATTTTAGTAACTTTTACCTTAATGGTAGAGAGCAAAGTAGATCATAAAATGTCCTTTCTTCTGACAGAGTTTTATTTTCTTTTAAAAACAACTAAATTTAAAATCATTCTTTATATTTTTAAATTAGATAATGACTTACTAATTTTTATGATAGACTTACTGTATACCTTTAAAAAATGTACTTTAAGGAATTAATTACTCGAATTTATTTGTGGCTAGGACAAGGATGAGACGGAAACAGTTAAGCAGACTCAAACGTCTGAGGTTTATGATGGTGACGGCCCCAAAAATGTGAGATCTGATGTTTCTGATCAAGAGGAAGATGAAGAAAGTGAAGAATGTCCAGTGTCTATTAGTAAGTCTGAAGGCTCTAGACTAGGTTTATGCATTAGTTCTTTACAGATCACTTAATGAAACAGTTTGTTGGAGTGGAATGAATATAGAATTAGGTGTCAGACAACTCTGAATTTCAATGTGACCCTGACTAAATTACCAGTCCTTTCAACACCAGTTTTCTAGTACTTAACGGTTTTGAAGGTTTCAGATACTGTATGTGAAGCACTTACACAATGCAGGCATGCAATAAATGGGAGCTGTTGTGAAGTAAGTGTTAAAATTTTTACCAAAAATTGTGTGTTAATCAACTTAGATTTGTCCAAAGCTGAAACTCAGGCTTTGACTAATTATGGAAGTGGAGAAGATGAGAATGAAGATGAAGAAATAGAAGAATTTGAAGAGGGACCTGTAGATGTCCAGACGTCACTTCAGGCTAACACTGAAACTACAGAAGAAAATGAACACGATGATCAGGTATTCCAGTGCAGACTCACTCACTCTCCACCAGTCTTCCTATGACACCTAAAAGCACTTTCTTTTTAAACATGTTAAAATCAACAGCTTCCCCATTCTCATTTTCCTGAGTACAAACCTCTTTAATATCCTTATTGAAATCTAAAACACATTTTTTTATTTAGCAATGTTTTTACATTTAAAGCACTTAAAATATTTTAATAACAAGTCCTGAAAACTATGTGATGACTTTAGATTTTTAACTTTTGATTTTTCTAGTTATACATGGAAGTAGTATGTAACAAAATAAAATCATTCCCCTTCCTATCCTCACCTCATCCTGCCCCAGAGGCAAAACTTTGTATGATTTCTTCTGCTGTTTACCCTCTATCTGAATAATATGTGTCTGCATTTATTTATTCATTTATGTGTTAGACATTACCTTTTGAATTCTGTTAGAGCAGGTGAAGACTCTCAGGTCACATATGTTCCTCATTTAATCGTGTCTTTTGATTAAATCCGTATTTAATCAAATATTTAGATTTAAATGAACCATGCAAATATTACTAGCTGTTGAGCTAAGCAGATAGTGTTTATTGTTTAGTCTTGTACATTTTTTTCACCTGAATTTAATAATTGTCTCATTTTTTAATATATTTTCTTTGATCACATACCCAAGTGCTTGCTCTGCCCAGCAGTAGCTCAGTAAATCTCTCAGTAGAATTTTCTTCATGAACCAGTCTGTCAGTTTTGTCCTTTCCGGAGCTTGCTTCATTCCTGCTCTATCTGGGTCTGGCTCTTCTTTAGCCCTATAGATAGCTACCAGCTAGGGAACCCCGTCTTTTGTACTTTTAGGTCTCAGTTTCTGGAATCAAATCTTGCCTTTCTCTTCCTTGGTTTATCACCTAATTTGGTGGAACACATCTTGCAGTCACTCTCTAAGAAAGAGTGCAAAACATATCTTGACACCCCCCACCTCGCTCAGTCATGTCTGACTCTTTGAGACCCCATGGACTATATCGCCCACCAGCCTCCTCTGTCCATGGAATTCTCGAGGCAGGAATACTAGAGTAGGTAGCCATTCCCTTCCCTAGTTGCCATTTTATATTGTCTAAGAAAACTCAGTGTTTCTGTGTTGAAAATCATTTCCGCTCAGGTCTTTGAAAGTCTTCTTAGTTCTGATTTTTCATATATGTCCTTTTTTCTTTCTAACTCTAGAAGTTTTTCCACCTGGAGTTCTCAAATTTCACAGTGATAATATACATTGTTGCACGTCTTTTTATTCACTACACTAGGTGGACTCAGTTGTCTTTTTAATCTGTAGCATGTTTTTCAGGTTTGGTAAATTTTCTTTAATTTCCTTTATTTCTTCCTCACCATTTTCTCTTCTTTTCTTCTGAAATAAATGTTACCAGGTGTTAATGAGCCCTATTTTCTTCTTTTCATTTTTTGACCCATTGATCTTTCTGTTTTATTACTTTCTGGGAGATTTATTTGACCTTAACTATATGATAGTATCTTTAGTTCAACTGTCATAATTTTAATTTCTAAGTACTTTTTTCTGAATGTTACTTTATAGCACCCTCTTACTTCATGGGAGCAGTATTTTCTCTTACCCACACATAGAGGCTTTCTCCAAATATCCACTCTACCTTTGGTGCTTACATTAAAGAATAATACACCAAAAAGCCAGTTGAAAATCTTCTGGGCTTTACTGTGGGGCAGCCAAGTAGATAACTCTGATAGAAAATCCTAAATGTCAATTCCTATTGGAATAGTTTAATTTCTCCAAAGTAGGGAGGGTCCGCCCATCTCCTTCTACCTGGTAGGAGGTCCCTTTCCTTGGCTATTGGTATTCTGAACTTGGATGTAAGGTTAGGGCTGAGGGGACCACCATTATACAGACTTGCCCTAGATCTTCCGTCATTTTGACACTTTATCCTGTCATTCATGCTTTCCACAGCCTGCCCCTTCCACGGTGGCCCCCAGGCCTGAGACTAGCTCATTTCCTCCAAAATATAATCTCGCATTTTCTGTTGAGCCTGGGGAGGGAATCTTAAGTGTAACAAAATATAATCATTACCCTTCCTATCCTCACCTCATCCTGCCCCAGAGGTAAAATTTTGTATGATTTCTTCTGTTGTTTACCCTCTATCTGAATAATATGTGTGTGCGTTTATTTATTCATTTCTGTGTTAGACATTACTTTGAATTTTGTTATAGCAGGTGAAGACTTTCACCCCACCACTGTATTCCTTCCTTCCTAGAATCTGGGGCATCCAATTATGAGGTGAATCTTCAGTTTTCTTTCCTCCTACAGAAAGCAGTTAGCTTGTTCATCCTTCTCTCCTTTCCTTCAGTTAACATCTACAAATAAGCAAGTATCTTTTAGTTTCATTTAATATAGAGTCAGGCCTAAAAAAAAAAAGTAAAATCTATAATACTCCAGTTCTTTGTGTTATTCTGAAGTTAAGAAAAGTAAACTTTTTAAACTTAGCCATCTTGAAATTGCAACCACAGCCTTCTTGAAACACTTCTAGAAGATTATTTTAAAATTTCCTTGTATGAAGGTCTCAGGTTGGAAATACCATCCATCTCCTGTATGTTTAGGTCCCACTATTAAGACATTATTTTTTCCTTCTAGGTTCCACAGCATGATTTTGAAAAATCATCAGAAAGCAAAAATGTCCCATCAGAACAAGAACCCACTACTAGTAAAGGTAAGAAAAGTTTAAAATTTCCATGTTAAAATTATCTGCAGTGTCCTTTATGTGCTTAAAAACAAAGAAATCTAAATTCTTAGCTAATGGAAGTTCAGAGGTATTTTGGATCTGATACATGTCTTTTTTCTCTAAATCCTTTGTAGAAAATGCTAGGGCCTTGTTTCTGCAAACAGCTATTAAAGGAAAGTTGACAAATATCTAAACACAGAGACAAATTTTGTAAGGAAGGTAGTCTGATTATACATTTATACATTTTAGTCTTTATTTGGCGCAATAGTAAAACTTAATGACAGTTGCATTACACTAATGTTAAGACTTTCTCTTGATGATAGGTGACCAGGATAGCACTCCTGTGAAGCCCTGTTACCTCAATATCGTGGAAAATGAGCAACCTTTAAATAGCACTGTCCAGAAGGACACACTCACTACCATCGACTCGTCCAGTCAGCCTAACCCTTTGCCTTTACCTTTAACTGAAATTGAAACCTTGGTGCCTAGAGTCAAAGAAGTGAAATCTGCTCAGGAGACTCCTGAAAGCTCTTTGGCTGGAAGTCCTGATACTGAATCTCCAGTGTTAGTGAATGACTATGTAGGTATCATCTGCATTTCATTTCTGTGCCCCTTTCTTCATTTGCAGGTTAACATTTCTAGTTTGTAAATACAACTCCACTTTGTGTTTGGGTTTAGAAACTGTTGGAGCATTTTTATTTCTCATTCAGACTTACTTTAAACTCAAAACAGAAGAGTGATAGTGAACAAAGATGACCATTTCAAAACCTACAATTCTACTTTGCATAGTTTTGCGAACCAAAGAGATGAACTGTATGTGGTAACCTTGAGAGAGTTCATTTGACAGCAGTAGAGTCCCTGTCTGTAGTGAATGATGAAAAAGTAAGCTAGCATTTATACTTATAATTTGCATTTATAATGTAAGTAGGTAAGTTTAGTTTTTCTCTGGACATTTGATTTAATTTTATAGCCAATAGGTTGTTTTTTGGATCCTTGGGTTGTGTATGATTTATATACTTTCTCTTTTGGGTAAAAATGAAGAGATTTGTAATAATGTACCTTTAGGTCTAAAGAACATGTTTCACATATTATTTAATCAACATCAGTTTTCTTCCCAAAGATATGTTTATAATATAATTTCAAAGCTTCTCAGCAAAAGGGGACTTATAGTATTTCAGAAACAGTAGAAAGAGTAACTATCTTAATTGTTTTATTTGCTTCACTAATAGTAAAATTTTCCATTGAAAACTGTAAAAGTTACTTATTAGGTTTCTTATTGTTATTATTTGATGAGTGCATAGAATTGCTACAGAAGGCATTTGCTCAAAATTTACTTGACGTTAGATCATAGAAGGTCCTGCAGTTGGATTTCAGGCAGGGAACACTATTAAAGGTCTTTGCGCAAGAAAGTGAAATGGTCAAAGTCACGGATTTTGAAGATGAATTCGATGACTGTATAAGAAATGTTGTCAAGGAATCAAAGTTGAGAGTCTCCATTATCATATAAATACAAATTGAGCTGAGTGAGAGAGGAATGGGTGAGAAATGTTTCAGAAAAAAGAAAAACTTAAGGTTTCCACTTGGGTAATTGGTAGAATGATGATACTATTAAAAACCAAAGAACTGGGAGAAAATGCTTCAGGTGTGTGAGGTGATTTTTAATAACTTTTTTAATAACTTTAATAACTTTTGTGAATTACTAAATTCACACCTCATCTTTCTGTTTGAGCTTCCAATTGATATCGAAACTCTATGTTTACTTATATTCTTTTGAATAGAGCTCTGATGCATTCTGTTAACATATCAAGAAATGAGGGTTGTTCTAATTACTTTAGCCCTCAGTATAAGTACTGCTGTTTCTTCCTTTAGCCTGTATGAACGGGCTCTTTGTTTTGTAAAACGGGCGCACAGAAGCCTCACTGTGTGCCCACAGTTACAAGTGTGCAACCCTTCATGCTGGACTCTAGATTTCTGTTCTATTCATTGAGCTAAATATAGAAGAAAAGCAAATATGGCAGAGTTACTGACATCTATACACATGTGAGAATCCACTTTATCTCTTGGCATGGATGACTTTGGTTTAGATGTTTAGATCCAGAGAGAGAGTGGATTGCCGTCATTAAATATAATTTGTTAATCTTACAGGAAGCAGAATCTGGTAACATAAGTCAAAAATCTGATGAAGAAGACTTTGTGAAAGTTGAAGATTTACCCCTTAAACTGACAATATATTCAGAGGTATTTTGCTCTCTTTAATTACAGTTGTCATTATATAGCAGATATTGTTAAGATGAAAAGTGATTTTGTATTTTTAATTTTCATTCTACAGGCAGATCTAAGGAAGAAAATGGCAGAAGAAGAACAGAAAAACCACTTAGCTGGTGAAATATGTGAAATGCAGACTGAAGAATTAGCTGGGAATTCTCAGACACTAAAAGAACCTGGTAAGAGTTAGCAGTTTTAATCATATCACACTGAAAAGTTACTGAATCTTGGTACCATCATTTTGTTTTAGTTTTTAAAATGTGCTACTAGTACCTGGAAGATAGAAGCCAAACATTAGAAAGGAAGCATAATTCTATAAAAATTTTAGTTCCACTGCCCAATTTATAAAATAGTACTGTCAGATAATTTTTTCTGTTTTTAGTTTTAACAGTGTAATAGATGCAGATGGCTTAAGAAAGAAAGGTATAGAGGAGTTGGTGATGATTGGCAAGAGCCCATTTCTTTTATTCACTGGTTTTCAGTTCTTTTGGAGGAGGCCTTTTATATCTCTATATACTATTCTTATAATTTTCCTGAATTAAATTAGATAGTGTTTCTTATCTCCCCAATGGAAACTTATTTAAACCTACCTCTTCTTTCAGTGTTTATGTTGTTTTTGGTTTTTCTGTTACCTTTGTTCTTACAAATGTATGCATTTTCTAGTTCTGTCAGTTTTGATCATTACCTGACTGCTTGTTCCTCCGCTTTTCCGTCTCTGTTCGGTTTACTCATTTCATACTTTATTGACCTTATTAAACACACTTATATTCTGTTTTTGTAACTATAAGAATGAAATCTTTTATACTTTCCTGAAGATGATTTTATGATTCATTGCAGAGCCAAGTGATAGTCCCAGGAAATCTGAGATTTCCTTCTTTTTGGGTTTAATAGCACAGCCCAAGGGCCACTCAGAGGAAAACATTTCTTGCATCAAGGTCAAGGATTTTCTGTTTGTTCATCAGTTGATTAAACTCAAGATTTTTTGTTTTTTTAAGAAATAGGGTGACGAGAAGAGAAACCAAATATCAAACCTTCAGTTAATCTCCCAGTTTTCAGCCCATTCCTGCCATTAGGGCTTCAGTTGGTACCCTCTCTCCTACTGCCTGTCCTTGCGTGTCTGGACTGCAGCTTCCTCCACCCTGCCCTTGGCCTCCAATCTGCTCTCAGCATTCTGGGAATTTGTTTTTATCTCCTGCCCTCTGGTTCTCTCACAACCAGCCTTCTTTTCTTGGTCTGAATTTATTCATTTTTATACTTTTTTTTCCCCCAGTGGGTTTTTTGGTTTATTCTTTTTTGAGAGCAAGTATCTGCTCAGCCTGCCATCTTAAGATGGAAACCCTTACCTATGTCTTTTAAACTGTTGGTGGTATCATCAGGGAATTATTGTAGCAAAGTAAGTTTCTTTTCTAATAACTTTATATTAAAAATGAAAGTTTTAAATGGAAGAGGAGAGCAATATTAAATAAATTCTATAAGGTCATATTAACTCAGTAAATAATTTATAAGGCATTAACCATGATTCTGTTTTTCAGAAACAGTGGGACCCCAAAGTACATGCGATGTCTCCAGAGGCTGATCTAACTCTTTCTTGACATAATCAATACGTATATGAAAATGGCACTAAATAAACATCTGTTTTAAACTATATAAAATGTAAATCAGTTTGACACTGCATTTTTGGTAGGTGTGCTAATTTCTGCCCATGGCAGTTTAAAACATCAAAAACTGAATTCTGGACAGATTCAAGCCTTGATACACTGTGGGGTTTTTTCCTTTTTCTTTCTTTCATTTTTTTGGGCCTGATTTTTTTCCCCATTGTGATGTTTAGTAACGTAAAATTTAAAATGTAGTTTTAAATAAAGTTTGGACTTATCTGTAAACTATCTTTTTTGAAAATTATGTTGAATTCTATACAGCAAGTCACTGTTCTATATAATTAGGCTGTTCAGAGAAGAGCAACGGTCAAGAGTTAGAGAAATATACTATTTATTATAAAGCCCAGCCTTCAGGCCAGGCTTCCAGATACTGCCAGTGTTGCTGCTATTGAGTCTAATATTCTTTTAGATACCTGCATGCCTTATTCCTTTGCAAGAATAGGGCAGGTTATAAAGGTATCCAGGATTTCAGAGAGGTTATTATAGAATATAAATATTCAAATTGGATAATAAGTTTAGAATACTTGTCCTTAGTACCTAGAACTTACATAATTATCTATTAGATAAATATTTTCTAGAATTGCAATTCATATCCGTGTTGCCTCAGTTTAAATGTTAAAAGAGAGAACATTTTCTATAATTAGAGAATATTTCCGCTTAAACAAGGAAAGTAACATTGTGATTACTTTTAAAAGGAAAACCAAGCTCTTTAAAGTAGGGATTAATAGAACTAAATTTATGTACCAGAGCACTAAGTTTCTATTTGCCTTTGGACAACCTTGCTTTTTGAGACGATAATTTAGGCCAAAGCGTAGCAGTTCTGTCTGTGTGTAGTGAGAGAGAAGCAGGTTTGCAGATGAAGTACTGTATGGAGTAATGAGAATCTATGTGACCTCTTCATCACTAAGCAAATCAGCTTTTCAAGGGGGTGTACTTTTAGATCCCATCTTGCCGTATATCGAGTTAAAGGCTTCACAGAGTCAGTTAACAAGTCAACTTTACAGACTGTTCCTTGAATAAAATATTCCAAATTTGTCAGCAGTTTACCGAAATACCCCATAAAAAAAGAATTTGGTTGGTATTCCTTTGAAATTCTTGACTGGTACCTCAGTGTAAAACTATAATGTCCAGTCAGGGAATATTAAATGAGGAGTTCCCTCTGAAGACATTGACTATATTGTTCTGTAATTTAAATTATGTGAAGCATATATCTCCAACTTTATTAAACTTACTCAGAACACTATCATTCCAGAAGCAGGAATTATTCAATTGGCTTGACTTCAGGGAAATTGAAGCATAGTACGTATACATATATATTGATGTATACTTAAGTTCCATATTTGTTTTCTAGACTCTGTACAGAAACTTCATTTTGATACACTCAAGCCAAGCCTTACACGTTAAATATTAAGACTGTCTCTCTCTCTGCATGCAAATTAAAGATGGATTAATTTGTGGAATTGTTGTACTTACATCTTAAGTTATTATTGTAGTATCTGTGAACCTTATCAAATTTGCTTATTTGACTTACAGCTGTTGTAATCTGGTCTTTTGTTTTCTATTATAGTAGATAATTTAGTTTTAAGTGCTTGAGAGCAGATAACTTGCTTAATATGTTTTTCCCTGGTAACTGTTGCTAAAGGCTTAGGCATTCAATATGTACTGTTTGTCTTAATTTTAAGTTAAAAATTTGGTTAGAGGTAAAAGAGGAAGAAAAGGTCAAAATAAGTGAGAGAGAAACCTAGGCAGGTTGAAATATATAAGATTGAGCTCACCAGACTGTGCAGCAGGTAGTCTTGTATTTTTAACATTCACTTTGGGTAAATGCTTTTTCACTGTTAATAAATGTGTATCCTGCATACAACCCTGAATTGCATTTTCATTTACATTGACATACTCATTTATGCTTTAGAATTTATTCCAGAATTTTGGCTTATTTGACAATTTTGTGTGTTTTTTAAAAAAACTCAATACAAACTATTATATATAAAATAGAAAACAATAAGGTCCTACTGTGTAGCACAGGAAACTATTCAGTATCCCCTAATAAACTGTAATGGGAAAGAATGGGAAAAGAATATGTGTATACGTATAACTGAATCACTTTGGTGTATGTATACCACGCTCTAACACTACATTGTAAATCAACTATGCTTCAATTAAAAGAAAAAAAAAAGACATGAAAGATAATGACATATCAACCAGCCAGAGAGATTTATTAAAGTAGAAACATTTTTCTTAACAGTGCAGCTGTGCTCTTCTATTTTTTAGTTACATCTGTCTTACATACTGTGTACAGAAAACTCTCATGTGTACTAAAAATTAGATTGGTATGTTTCTTGTTCAACTTTTTTTAATATAAAAAACTCATTTTTAAAAATCTGTCAAATAATTGGCTCTGGGTTTCACTTGTTTCATTGTACAAGTATGGTTGCTCAGTTGCCTTGCCTGGAGGAGCCAGCATTTCTTGTTCTTTCTGCACAACTCTACTTTTTACTTTAATGTTCAGTCTTTACATGTCGAGTTTTTTCCTCATATTAACTAGTCTCTCTGGCTGACTCACTTTTTCCTTTAGTGGAAAGGAACACAGGGAAATTCTTTGCCTACAAATGACTGATTCATATATGAACAGAGTTTTAATTATCTTATGAGTTCATTTCATCTGCCCAGACTCAGAAATATCCACAACAGAATATCCTTCAGGCCAGCAGTTTATAGAAAGCTATTGATTTATTTTGAAAACTAATCACAGCATGTTCAGTATAACAGAGTTCTGTCCTCTCACATACTTAATATATTTCTTGCATTATGACTTTTCCTATGTGTAGTTATCCCCACTGTACATGTCTGGCAAATCACATGTAATTAATATAAATAGTATAGTTATAAATATTAAGAATATTAATCAGAAATATTAATTAGAAATCTTCACCTTTAGTGAGCTGAATGTCCCAGAGTATAGTTGCATGTTTAAGGCCATTTTGTTAATCAAATGATATCATGAAAAGATGGAAAATTATAAAGTGCCATATCAGCCCATAGTGGTAGCATTCAACATTGCTGTTAAACCTCACTCTTTGTTAGACTGTGTCCATATAGATACATTTCAGGTTTTTTTTCCATTTTCATTGCCCTTTCACCTGTTGCCTCACAGTACGTATAGGCATAGCTTACTCTGACAGATAAAGTAGTGCTTGTGGAGATTCTTTGATGACAAGTGCCATATAAATGTCAGGTATCATGTACGTATTCATGTTGGAGAAAAGAAAGATCCAGAAAAATAAGGGCTAAGATTTTCCTCAAGCTTATACAGCCCAATAGTGAGGTTTTTGCTTCCTTTTCGGTGTGCTAACTGACATAATTTAATATCTTTTTCCAAAACAGAGTTTTTAAAAGTACTTACCAGAGCCTTTTCTGACATGTTCTGGTTATATACTCTTAAGTAATTTTTCCCTCTTTAGGTAAACAGGCAAAGTCTAAAGAGCCTTCATTATAATGGATTTTAGATGTGTTTTCCCAGTGTCACTTTCACCAAGTTATCTTCCTTCTACTACATTTTATTTACTCTTCTTTCTATTCCCTGACTCTTACTATCCCCAAATCTCCCAAAATGTTGAAGACACAGGAAGAGTAATGGAGTTTGTACTACAAAATTAGTATTTCAGATAGCTTTTTGGTTTTTGTGTTTGTTCTTTACTGAAGTGTAGTTAATTTATAGTATTAGTTTCAAGTGTGCAACATGGTGATTCATTATTTTTATAGATCATACTCCATTTAAAGGTTTTATAAAATACTGGCTGTCTGCCCTGTGCTGTACAGTATGTTCTTGCAGCTTATTTATTTTATACATAGTAGTTTGTACCTCTTTATTCCCTACCCCTGGCTTGCACCTCCCCCTTTTCTTCTCCGTACTGGTAACCACTAGTTTGTTCTCTGTGAGTCTGTTTCTGTTTTGTTATACTCATTTCTTATATATTTTAGATTTCACATATAACTGATAAGATACAGGATTTGTCTTTCTCTGACTTATTCTACTAGGCATAATACCCTCCAGGTCATCTGTGTTGTTGCAAATGGCTAAATTTCATTCTTTTTTATGGCTGTGTGTAATATTCCATCGTGTGCATGTGTGTACCACATTTTCTTTACCCATTCATTTATTGATGAGCATTTGGGTTGCTTCTGTATCTTGGCAGTTGTAAATAATGCTGCAGTGAACATTGATGTGCGTGTATCTTTTCAAATTAGTGTTTTTGTTTTCTTTGGGTATGTACCCAGAAGTGAAATTGTTGGTCATATGGCAGGTTGTTTTTAGTGTTTTTGAAAAATTTCCATACTGTTTTCCATAGTGGCTGCAAATGTGCATTCCAACCAACAGTATACACGGTGTTTGCTCCACATCATCAACAACACCTGTTATTTGTTGTTCTTTTTGATGGTAGGCATTCTGACAGGTGTGAGGTGACAACTTGTTGTGGTTTAGATTTGCATTTCCCTGATGGTTAATGATGTTGAGCATCTTTTCATGTGCCTGCTGGCCATCTGTATGTCTTTGGAAAAATGTTTATTCAGATTATCTGCCTGTTTTTTAATTGGGTGGTTTGTTTTTCTGTGGTGAGTTGTATGAGTTCATTGTATGTTTTGAATACTAACCCTTTATCAGATAAATCATTTGCAAGTATCATCTCCCATTCCGCAGGCGGCCTTTTCCCTTTGTGTGTAGTTTCCTTTGCTGTGCAGAAACTTTTTAGTTTGATCTGGTTCCATTTTTTATTTCTGCTTTTGTTTCCTTTACTTGAGGAGACAAATCTAAAAGAATGTCTGGGGGGACTGATGTCAGAGAGTATACTACCTGCTTGACTCTAGGAGTTTTATGGTTTGTGGTCTTACACTTAGGTCCATTTTGAGTTTATTTTTTGTA